CACCGAGCTAAATTGCTGCAGAAAGACCTTATCCACTTGAAAGCCCGGCTGCTTGCGCGGCAATCATTCTATTGGAGGATCGCGCGCCCGAGAGCGGCGTGAATGGACGTCGCCAGCGTTCCGCCGTCCGCGTCCCTCTCGGAGGAAAGGCTCGCGCCGCGCCGCGCTTTCCCACGCTCGAGCCCCGCCGGCGCGCGCAGCCACCGGCTGCTCGAGAACACACCGGCGAGTTTCGGAAACGAGCCGCGGGCGTGCAACGACGCGAGGGCCCGATTGCCGCCACGATTTCACTTGACGCCTAGTCGTCGCTCGCTCGTCGGATCCGTTTCCATCGAAAAACGCGATGCGTCGCGCGCGCAGCTAAGCGCAGAAAATAATGACCCACTTTGGCCTCGTTTATGTGGCTAGCTCCGCGAGCTTCTGACTCATCTCTCGCTCGGCCGCTCGTCAGATGTTACTGACTCGCCGCGATGTATATGCACGTCACGCGCGTCGTCGTCGCTCGGTCGCCGATCGCGACCGATCGATTGGCGGACCGCGCGAGCATCGGCGGTAGGCTTGCGAGAGCACGTATGCGGCATGAATGATCGGTTGACATCCCGAGGGCCGAGCCCCCGGCGCTCCGTCGCCGCGGGCTGCGCTCGGCGATCGACCAACCGGTGCCGCCACCTGCAGGGATCGCCGGCTTCTAAAATGCAGCACTGCAGATTCTCTCGATATCGCTCGCGCGGACACGTACGTATATGTATCGCGTCGAAATCGCATACATCCGTTACGCAAGCCGCGCAGTTTGCGTTCGTGCAAGTCGATCGTTTCGCCGCAACGCGTGCATTTGCATTCCCATCGACTAGATCGCGAGCGAGCGAGCTTGCCGAGCGAAATAGAAAAAAAAAAGAAAAATTGACAAACCGCCACGGTAAGCCGAGAGAGAGAGATAGAAATCGACATCGTCGCTGCGCCGCGATTAAACGAATTGAGAAACGATGGAAATAACGAGGCATAAAGTATCAGCGATTACGCTATCGTTGACAGGCTAACGCGGGCGAATCCCTTTGCTTTCGCTCTGTGCTATCGAAGCGACGTACGTCGCTTTCAACTTCCATTTGCTAAAGATTCCGCGCGCATGACTAATCATCGCGGATAACGTGAATTGTTTATGCAAAAAGTAACGTGTTCTCCCCGACGAGGATTTTTTGATTTCTTGTTTGCTGATAATTGCCACGGGTTCCCAATGACGGAACATCATTTTACCTCCTTCGTAACTAGATCCAACGTCAGTTTCGAAACTATGTCAAAGGACAATTGACCAAAGCTCTGACCACTAGACGTCGTTTGCAAACTCATTGGCGGAAAAATGTGAATTCGCGTTGCGTGGCTTCTTCGCTGCGTACCTTGGTCGACGGATAATTATAAATGAAATTAAGGCCGAAATACGTAATACGAATAACACATATCGGTAAAAATCGAAGTGCGCGTTTGGATTTCGCATTCGTAATTCCACTGCAAAGGAAAGAAACAAAACAATGCCAAAATATAACCGTGACTCAATCGCGATGTCGGCCGCATCGAACCCCTTACGTCACGTTATCGTGGCGCGCACGCAGCGGAGTTGCATCTCTTGCGCGTCTGAATCATTCTCGAGACTCGAGACAGCGTGAGAGAGGAAAAAGAAGCAACGAGCAAAGCTCCCTTCTCCCGCCTACTCTCGCGCCGAAGGCATGAATGACCGGTCTCCCACTCGGCGACGCGGCGGCGGCGACGGCGGGGCGACGAGGAATTTTATGCGCGCGCGCGCGAGGAATGCCGATTTTTCGCGTTCATTCATGAAACGCAAGCGCGGCCTTTATATATGTACGGGCGCGCGCGGTACTCCTTTCTCTTTCCCTGCGTTGCCCTGGCGTTTTCCGCGCGCGCCGCCGCTTACACGACCGCGACACTGCGAACAATCGCTCCGCCGGTGGCCCAACCAAAAGAGACGCCCGGCGTGCGCTATTCGCTGGGGTGGGTTATCGAAGGGAGGGAGGGGGAGAGCTGGAAGCGAGATCGCTGACCGGGGGAAAACGTGCGTAAAAGCTCGAAAAGGCACAGCGAGACGAGTCGTACGTATTTAAAGAGCCCGCAAGAGCACAATGCATCGTTGCGCAGCTGTGCGCACGAGGAACTGGTTCAGTAGAGAGCCGAGAGCGAAGGAACACTCGCGCGCGCGCGTATACCTCGTTTATTTCGCGTGTAAGGCAAAAGTCGCGCTGGGTTTACGCATCCTTGGACTCTCATTCATGCAACGCTCGAGCGGCCTTTGAAGGTTGCGAGGGCGAAAAAAAAAAAAACGACGCAGAGAACGCTCTCCTCCGAAGCGGCTTTTCGGAATGATCTTCATTTGCATTCGACAGACTTGACCGAGCAACGCTGTCGTCTCGGCTCACTTGCAGCTGATTGTCATATATATATATACTCGCGCCCACGGACTGCTGCACATCGCGCTCGACGAGTCATCGGCCGCGGGGCGCGTTCTCGCGCTCCCGAATTTCGGGCGTGAAACGCGACGATGACAAGTGCGCGCGAGCAGCAAGTGCATTGCGGGCCAAGCTGCCAACGAGAGATCGAGAGCTCGTGCGCGCTCGGTGACCGGCGAGGCCGAAAGGCGGTGAGACGATGCATTTTAGCGGCAGGAGATGTCAGTGACCCAGAACTTCTCGCGAGCGAGCGTTGTGCGGCAGCGCGGCGCGCATGGCACCGAGAAACCAACTTTCACTGGCGGCTGAGCGGTTTGCGCTGTTGTATTATAGCCTCGTAAGCATCTCGGTATTTCGTTGTTCGGCGCTTCGTCGAGTTGATTCCTCCCTTCCCCTTCTTTTTGGTAATTATCGCGCTATGGGTACTTGGAATCTCGTGCTATACGCAACAATGTGAAGCGACAAACATCGACAAACTTGCGATCTCACCATTGTGACGTACAATTTTCCCACAGAAACGTTCACGGCAAAAAAAAGTCTCGATCCTTCACCTCTCTATAAAAGTCGGGTCCAATTCTCACCTACTTTGTCCGTCTTCTCAGGGTTGAAAGATTGAAACCCGTGCTGTTTTGTCCGACGAGCAATCAACTGCAGCGTATGGCGTAATCTCTCTCTCTCTCTCTCTTTCTATACATATATATACCGAATACGTCGGAGAGATACTACCTACTCGGCTTCGCTCCGAGATAAGTGTACGGTGCACATATACACATTCAGCGATGACTTTGTAATAAGAGCTTCGTGCTCTTTGTCCGCGTGTAGATCGCCGCGTCTAATCTAATTGCAAATGATGGTTGTATACTTGCGAAAAACTGACGGTAGAGAATGTGAAGCTGTATGCGCTTGAATGCCGAACTGCTTTCTACCTGCGTACAGCTTGTGCAACGTGTTTTGAACTTTGGCTTGTATGCGTCGAGCGAATTGATACCTGTAAACAATTTCAACCATTGAATCCAATTTATTCGTTCTCTGATCTGAAGTAAATCGCATTTCACGTTGCTACAACTAATCATACAGTGCAATCACGAAGATACTACAAGCTTTTCGTCAATAAACAGAAAACGACCTTTTCACTATTTAACGCTTCAATAAAAAACACCCGTAATCATCGTGAAAAGGGTCATGTTTCTTACGTGCAAAAGGAAAGTAACTGGCACAGGATAAGTTCACCGAGAGGAAGGGAGAGAGAGAGAGAGAGAGAGAGAGAGAGAGAGCGGGAAGGAGGGATAATCTTCCCAGTCGTCGGCGTGCGCGGATGAGAGCTTGGGAAGAAAAGCCCAAGAAGGAAGGTTCTATTTCTGGCCTTTCCGCTAGCCGTAGGCCGTTGTATAGTTGAATGGGCATTGCCTTTGCGCTCGCAAGACTGCACTTTCACGCGCACAGGACGTTTAGCTGTGCTTAGCGCGAGAGACCGAGTGAATGAGCGTTTCGTTTTTCTTTTTATCCTTGCCGATTGCCGGACAACTTGATTTTTAGCGAGAAACTAAGGTTAACGCGATGGTCCAGGCTCTTCAGTTGTGAAAATTCGAATCCACCGCAGGCGCAAAAATTACGTGCTCGCAGTGTCACGCGTGCCTCGCATAAAGTATACGTTTACTGTTTAAAAAAGCCCTGCTCCTCTTCTGAAAAGTCATGGCGCCAAGAGAGAGAAGAATTTTTCGGCGTCTCACGAATATAAAAGGGACTCTCGCGGGAAAGGAATGCGCTCTGACTGCATCAACGCTCGGCATGGATGCACTTAGGTGTGAGGGCACGTGCACTTCATTGCATTGCAACTCTCTCTCTCTCTCTCTCTCTCTCGATCCATGCACTACGCTCGCGAGGGATTTGGTTCTTTCTCTTTTTTTACTCGCTTGAGCTCGCGCGCGCGATAGATCGCTGATATGTCCTTTGGCTTTTACCAAGTTGTGCTATCAGCCAATTAAACCTATATCCTGAACACGCGCATATGCGAGAATCTCATCCGCAGTGGCGCTTAATTGGAAACGGATTGGTGAATTTCTAAAAAAGAAGAATTGTTTCTATCTCTCGATAACGGGTTAATAACTGCGCCATTTATTTTGCAATACCTAATTTAGTTGTTTTTAATATACGTAAGTATAACCTAAAATCAAATGAATCATTTAAAAGGGTGTATGTAGCTGATTGAAGAGATGGCAACAGTACTTACAAACTTCAAAGTCATCCTTGCAAACTTCTATCTGACCACACTACATTCCTGCATTCAGTCTTAAAAAAACTACAGGGAGATGACTTACGGCAACGACATAGCAGCAGTGTGATACTACCACCTGTTTACATAAACAAAACAGCGATCCGTTATTATAAAAAAAAACAAACAAATGAAAAAAACAACAAATAAGCAAGTAGAAAAAAAGACAAGAATCGCCATGCTCGACGGATGATGTTGGTGGTGGTGGGGCGAAAACTTGAATGATTCCAGCGCGGCTGGCTAGCTAGTAGTGTGGTGGGATGAATCCGCGCGCGCGAGCCAGCCAACAAGGACGGCACACAACTCGCGCCGAAGCCGAGGCAGCAGCAGGCGCACACATACGCGGGCGCTCGACGTCGGAAATGGCCGCGGGAAAGTAGTGCGCAAAGTTCTACTGCTACCTTTTTTTCTTACCAGAATTGACCGCCAAAAAGTGTCGATCAGCTGTTCGCTGCTCCACTTGGAAATGATGCTTGAGTGTCGAAGAATGACAACGTAGAAGTGTGGTGAGTGCTCATAGAGTACCTAATCGATCGCTTTCCCGATCATGGGGAAAGTGCGTTTTTCGGGAGAGAGTGTGTGCGAATTCGGGAGTGGAGCGGCTTGGAAACCAAATGAGGGCCACTGTATTGATTATTTTCGCCGAGAACACCTGCTGTTAGCTTTTCGTGAGGCAGCTTCTGTGTTAAATTCTGTAACTTAGTTTGTTCAGTTTTTCTAAAAGTGTGTATTTTAAGATGATTCCCAGTTGTTGATTATTGAATTGAATGGACATTTGGTAAGGTATAGGATGGTCTAATCGTTTGTGTCAAACCAACAGTGTATCTTAAACTGATCAAGAATTCCTTGATTTACTACGATAGCAAGCTTTCTCACGACATCCTCTATAAAAACATAACGGTTTATCACTCCGCTGACTTTTCAATCGATTTTCTAAGTGCTCTTAAATTTCAAATCCCCTAGTCTCGCAAGTTTATGTTGTTCGGCTAACAGTTCCAATTTTTGCATTAATCTCCGTAGCGAATTTCTTGATTGCAAAATCCTTTTTCTTCGCGTACGTATACAGTTTACTCTGAACATAATGTCATGGTTATTTTTTTTTCTAGGTTAGATTGTCCAAAAAGGAACCGGGCAAAATGGAAGCCGCCAGGAGCGGCCTCGTGGGTATCCTTCCGTTCTAAAGCATTCGCACGCATATAAAAGTGTATATAGATCTGGAGGACATAAGCTGCAAGGATTCTAAGAGAGTGAGAGAGAAAGCGATGGCCGGCGATCGTGTAAGCACGAACAATGAGAGCCGTGACGGCGGTGGCGGCGAGGACGAGGTGGAGGGGGTGGAGCCGCATTCCAGAGTGGGCGGCATTCCGGAATGTGCTGCGGCGGCGGTGGTAGTGGCCAAGCCGAGCGTCGTCGACGGCCTGTGCCGCTATGCCCAAGGCGCGACCAGCGGCGGCTTGTCCTTCCTCGAGGTCTGCCAGGTAGGGAGAGATTCAAGTGGGGAGCGGTGGTTGAGAAGATTTTCTCACGGTTTCCTTTTTACCTTTTTTATGTTATACAGCCGGGAGAGAGAAAGAGAAGTGCTGAGATTTGAAACGATGCCGATGAGGATTATGGTCGTTTTTTATTTTTGGAAATTTTGCTTTACTTTTAAAAATCTTGTACTTTAGTTTTTATTGCAATATTGTAGGATTATGCAAATTTACTCTTTTTTTTAAATTCATTTCAAATCAATAAAAAGTTGCATTTTACTTTGCATTTATATTAATCATGAATACTGTATGTATTCAAAAATAATGAAAATTGGAATTTTGCTTTTTTTTTACTACAATAAACTGATATTAAAAATATATATATAAGAAATAGATGAAAATGTAATAAAGCTTTTCACATATATTTTTGAATATTTATTAAGTCAACCTATTATAGAGAATTTTTTGAATAGTAAATCAGAAAATAATTATTATGTAGCATTAAGAACTTACCTTACTTGAAGGATTAATTTTCTTTATTTACATCAAATACTGTAAAATCATTTACAAAATAATAATAAAGTTTATTCATCCTTTTTTTTACAGATTCGGTTACAGCAATCATTTCCACAAATCTCTACACCTCAGAGGTCTAGTCTCTGCGAAGACTCTATTGAGCTCACAGCAGAATGCCTGGCAGACGATGTGATTAGATATCTTCTGAAAGAAGACATTTACCAGATATCCAGAGATCCCATCTCTCGCAGCATGTGTCACAATGTTTATCAGATGCTAAATAAGCACAGCATACTCTTTACAAGCATGGTTAATCGATTGAATGTCACACCAGATACTGCATATGAAGCTTTCATGGGGGTAGCTGATGAATTATTTTTATGTCAAGGCATTACATGGGCCAGAATTGTTTGTCTCTATGCATTCATGGGCAGATTGGCTTTATGGGCAAGGGATAGGCGCATGCATACTCTGAAAAAGAAACTACCCAAATATGTTGCCAGGTACATAGGCGAAGAGATTTCACAGTTTATTAAGATATGTGGTGGCTGGGTATGTACTACTAATTAATTTTTCTATTTAGAAAAGTTTTAAAAGCTTTTGCTAACTATTAGTACTTTTTTCAGGAGCAACTATGTTTAGAATATCCAGTAGCAGAAGAGATGAGTGGTACAGTTTGGAGAAGTCTCCTGATGACTGGAGCTACTCTAGGCTTGGTAGCAACAATTCTGTCAGTAACATCTTGATTTCTAATGCAGAATAATTACGATGAAACCATCCAGTGAAGCTTTCATCGTGTACTTACATCCTGTGATTTAATGATAACAAACAAAAAACAAAAAAGTTGAAAAAAGAATCATATTGCACGCTTTTTATCAACGAAGGACTATTCAGTATTCTCAGTAGAAAAAGAAAAATCTCGCACTCGCTCAGACTATAACCGAACGATGTAAACGATAATTATTGTTCGGCCAAGGTGTCTTACTTTATTGTATTTAGCACGGGGATATGTAACTTTTATACGTGCGAGGTGTTTTTTTATGAAACATGGCAATGCAAGTTCTCTATTAATATAATAACTTTAAAGAAAAACGCCAACTGCATAATCGTCTAGTTCAATTCCTAAGATATTTGTAAATGAACTGTTTCAAAGATGTTCCTTGTCTTTTTAAAGGGAAATTACAAAGAAAAATACTCGAGAAAAAATCAGTGTTTACACGTCTATATTCCAAAAATGTTTGAGCTACTTTACATTTAGGTAGGAACTGTCTATTTTATATTTATTTATAATTTATTTTAGGTAGATAATAAAATAATTAATTATGCTCTCTAAAGAGCGAAATCTATAAAATTAATACATTTTTTCATTCATTGTAATGTATTTTGGTCGTATATTTGCGACTGCAACAAAAAAAGTTACTATGCTGTTTTATTGCCACTGACGAATTTATAAGCGGTTTTCTAAATAAAAAGTTATCGGAGTATCGGATGTCAGACGTGTGCCATGGTAAAAATAAATAATTAAATGATTTGTTATTGTAAAGATAATATAGCAAATTTATATATTTTACCATTGCTCGTATTTCACATAATTTCCAAACACCTATATATTAAACAAATAGTTTTTTCACCTTGACAATTTTGGTACACGTTCGATATTTGTTCAATGTCTTATTATTTAGTAAATCCATAATCGGTATATATTTTTTTCATACTTGTATAAGATTTTGCATGAATTATTGGTAATAATAAATACTCATCATGTAATAATACTCTTTTCACTATCCTTATAATGATCCTTACCATGTTATGGTTATGCGGCGATAAAGTCAAGGCCTTGGATTTACTAGCAAATTTATAGTTTAGAAGAATGGGATATCAAATTGATTGCACATTGTTCTTGTGTATTTTGAGCCCTCGAATCGGTAACTAGATTTTCCGGTAAAATGGATTCGCAAGAAAAATATGCCAAAATGGCACGGGTACTCAGAGTCGAGGGCTTTACGTTTCAGTAATATTTACTCAAATTTGATCGGTTTTCAGGACCGTGGCGGCGGCCTATGCAAGTATGCCGAAGATTCGCAACGACGTCCCCCTATTAGGAGAATCCTTTATAAAACAATGCAGTAGCTTCACTATTAACAATATCGTGTGTATATATGATCTATGAGCTTGCTATTTTACTTTCCGTGGCATGGTATACTATTTTTCGTATCAAGGAGACTGAAAAGTCGAACTTGCACTTCCCGGGTGCCTGGTACGAAAATGTTATTTTTAGTGAGTAATTATTTTCAATTGTTTCAATGTGTCTTTTGCATTGAATTTATTTCAATGAATAATTTACATATAATTTTACCTAACAACCTTTTACGTTAACATAATAAATATACTTTTTCTAATAACGTACAACATGAAATTCATGGTCTTTACATTTAAAATATTATAAAAATGTACTATACTTATTTCGAAACATAAACATTAGTTATATTCCAGTCTTATTTAAAACTTATTTTTCAAAAATTTATCAATGTGATTTATTGAAAAATGTAAAGATGAGTAATTTGCATTAATTGAATTGTTGAAACTGTATAAGAACATTTATTCACATGCAATATTGACATAAATTACGTTATGTCTAATTAGACACAAGATGTAATACGTTTATAAATTTTGATATACATTAAAATCTATTAAATTAAGTATGTCAAACGTCAGTGGTGAATTTTAATGATGTGATTGGAAATTTAAGCGATAATATATAAAGACTATTTGTCAGATTTTTCCTATCTTTTACTCGCTTTTGTAAACCAGTTTCTCTAAAATCTTATTTTCATCATTGCCATCTGAAAAAATAAGAATATTTCGACAATTAGTTGATAAAGGGATTTTTATTAACAAATAAATTTTCAAACTTTTAAAATACCGATATGATAATGGTAATATCGAGTTTGTATTTAGGCTTAGATTGTGCTATTGACTTAAATTTAAATGAAAAATGTCCTCTTTCTCTCGTTCAATACTACAGCTGGAAAATAAATTTTACAAAGTGCTTACATGTACAAACTGCAGTTTGTAGAAATGAATTTTTTAATATTCACCTTGAATTGTTGCTAATTGATCGTTAATTTCTGTAGAGTTCGGATACAGACGTTGACGAGTAAGACAGTATATTCATCAATCATTTCAGATGAAGTTGACTCACCAGAAGAATATGGTAATCTACACAATGCAGGTATGCGTTTAGAAATGCTAGTTTTAATTTGAACAAATTTATCAAGTGATTGTGTTTGAAATCGGAACATTTGTACAAAAATGAGCTAGTCGATTTTTTAAATGCATCTAGCAAAAACTAATTATTCCATTTTTTATGCATTTACATAAGGAAATCAATTTTAATGAAAAAAATATTATTCGCTCCTTTAACCAGAATAGAATTCTCATCAAAACGAAGATTACTTAGTCGCTATGTATGCGAGGTTGATTTTATTTGTTTGTTTTGAATCGCGTGCCTACGGATAGAAGTTACGTGCAAGTAATAACATTCATCACTTATCTACAGAATAGTATTGAAAAATTGAATGTGAATTATTAATGGGTATTTTTAATTTTTAATATCAACTATACGAAGTCGTTATACAAATATACAAGTAGACAACTAAATACTGTATGTGAATTTATAGGAATAAATAATAATACATTCACTTACGATATTTTAGAAGTATAGTAGATTTATTAAACTTGACACTCGATAATGTTTGTATGCAAAAATGTGGAACAGGTCAGATCCATTGAACGGGTCGATGTTGTGATTGACTCTCTCTTCCCTTATTTACCTACTACCATTATTTTCATATTGAGTGTACAATTGGCAAAATCTATCAACTGCCAATTTCAAATTTTTGTTTTCTCTAACGATGCAATAATAGAAATTAACAATATTCAAATCCGTAAAGAATTAGATTGCTGCAATATGACACAATGATTTGAATTATCCATTATTTGGGTTATTGCTTGCGTGTCGACGTTTCATAGTCTTTATAAAGACTCTATGCTTTACTGTACACAAGAACTCGAAACAAATTTCAACAACACGCATATTGTCCATATATTCACACATCTCGACGCATGTCAGATTTCATGATTCTTTTCAAATGGTTACATTATGCATCAATAGTGTTCTAAAACATTGATAATATCAGATAGTGTAAAGTTTATCATTTCTGTAAAATAACAGGTATGTGATTCGATATAATCATTCAAATGAGAAAAAATTCGAATTTATTTACAATTAAAGATAAAATTGTAATGTGGGCTTATGTAAACTTACTTGAAATACAAAATATTAACAATTTAGAAGCAATATATCGCAAAATCTAAAATGTGAACTGAATCTGAAGTTTGGCAGGTAAAGCCTGGACGTGATAGTCCAAATATGGAGCACCGATCTAGATTAAATAGTTCAGCGACTCCATTCTTTTTTTATGATTTAACAATTTTTTCGCAGTATCATATCATTAATGTACAATTTTTTACATTAAATCATTTTTTTTTTTGGGGTTGCTGTGTCAGTTTGAAGCGCATACATTTACACGTATTCATCAAATGCGTAGAGAAAAAGAAAAAGAAAAAGAAAAAGAAAAAGAAAAAGAAAAAGAAAAAGAAAAAGAAAGAATGATTGAATAAGAAATGTCTCAACAAACTGCACAATTCTTCATTTTGCTGGTGGTGATCACAGGTTCACTTATATTTAAAGCACCTTTTTTTGAAGATATATTTTTTGTAGTTTTGCAACCCACAATGGAAAACTACGCAAATTAGACTAACAATTATAAGAAATAAGGGATGAATACGCTATCATATACACAATTACCTTACTAAACTGATGCTACTCTACTTGAAATGGATATTTGCTTCGAACAGACGTAATAATTAAGTCAGTAATTTAAATAACTACTTAAATTATAGAGTAGTTATAATAATGATAATAGTAATGATAATAATGAATTTATAATAGAGATAATAGTAAAGACTACGTCTTCGTTTGCAATGAAATCATTCAAATAAAATCGTTTATTTATTAAGCCTTTTGATAAAGACCATCGGCCCTACGCTTTTTCTTCTTCTTTCAAATAAAACCATAAAAATGGTTGAAAAAACCATGGTCAAAAAAATATCCGTGAACATAGACATGACTTCAAATCGTGTTTTCAATTACAATCTTAAAAATGACAGATTTTGAGTGACGGCGATATACGATTTTCCAATGTCTTTCTCAGCTTTTGCGATTTATCACAGCTGAATTAATGTTTGAAAGTTTTATTTCTCTTCGACCGCGCACAACGGCAAATAACACAGTATTTCAACTTCCAAATGTTTAGTCCATGTACTCCCACCAATCCTTGTCATAACCTTCATGCACGTGTTCTAAGAGCACTTTTCGCCGACTTTCACAGTATCTACGAAACAAAAATATATAGCAATTATCACAGAGATTCTTACAGATGATTTATATACGTCAAATAATAAAATGTTTACCTGTATTTGTCCTGAACTTTTTGTTTGATATCAGCCAAATTTTCTCCGGTGATGTCTCGCTCAAGATACTCTGAAAGAAATTCAGTGGCGGACTCCAAATCCTTTTGATTATCTTCAAAGATCACAGATTGATTATTCTTACGAAGATAGTAAGCAAATACATAAGTGTACATAAGAGTCTGGCGGCAAGAACAAAGAATGTCTACCGCTTTCTTCAAAAACTGTACCTGTAATTGCAAAGATTACAATAAACAAACTTTACACTAACAATAAAAATTAAATTCAACGAATCCTCGGCAAACCACAAGGCTTACTTCAATCCACGACATGTTATGTTGCTGCATTTCCTCCATTTTTTCCTTAACGCTGGCATAAAGTTTGCTCTCGAATTTGAGCGACTGCATGTGGTTGATGTACCGATTACAGTAGAACAGGTATCGTTGAAGCGCCGCCCTCGACTTCTCCTGAGCGTCTCGTGCCACTTTAGCATCTTCTTCGTCAAAACGATTGCAATTATACCAACTAGTACCATGAGGATCCCAAGGTCCAAGACAAACCCAACAGAATTCCTGTCTACAATTCTGATTTTTACAGATCATGTGATTACAACCGCCATCCTTTTCAATGGTTACGTTACACTTAGGACATTCCTTCGTATTTGCTGCAATCCAGTTGGACGTCTCAGAGTCATCGTCACATTTCTTGATCCACTTCCGTAGTAGGTTACACTTGACGGGATCGTGCCAGTTCTCACCGCAGTTGAAACAAAATGTGTGATTGCACTTGCACGTTACTGGCTTTGATTCCACATACTGTACTTTTATCGCGTTATTGCAGTCGGGCGTTGGACACCACCTCAGTAGCCTATTGCACTGAAATTATCAATTGGATTGTGTGACATAATTATTTCAATATATAGCTATTTTTCTAGTACGACATCTCAATATTACCTCCACAAAACTGTTGGTTATAAGATGTTGATATTTTAGTTTGACTTTAGAGTCTTTGACTAATTTCATAACTGTGGCATCATCCACTAGAATATCACAGGAATGTGCTGCACATGATATTGTTTGACCCATTCCTTCTTCCATGATTTTTGTTGTGAGATATTCACCCCAGCAACCTGTACAAAACCGATGCCCACATTCCAAACCAGTCATCATCTAAATGGGAGAAAAAATGTATTAAAAAGATAGATAATTTAAGACAATAAATTATTTGAAATCTTAAAAAACTATATACAGATGCTGGTAAGGCGTTGAAGCAGATTCCACATTCTTCCATTGAATTTGTAGAGTTGCGTCGAGACAAAGAATTATGAGAAGAACGACTCCTACCTATTACAGTACCTTTTCTGAATGGATTTATTACGTGTGCTTCTGTAAACAATTTTTCCTGGTCACCATCATAAAATCTTTCCATCAGTTTTTCTTTATCCCATTTGAAATGATTCAATAAAATCCTTGTAGTAGTTGCTGGTATCTAGTTAAAAGTTGACATCAATAAATTATGGTACAAACCATTGACAACACGAAATGGAATGAAATATTTTGAATTTAAGTTACCTCTACAACTGAATTGACTTCTTTGATACAATCCACCATGTGCTGCACAATCTCTTCTGTCGAAAGAACTTCAACTGGATACTCATCTGTATCACTTGCCTTCTCTCGTAGATTGCTAGACTCGATTTCCATGGCAAAATCTACATCGTCTCCACTGGATTCATTACCAGAGTCAACATCATCATACAGTGTTTCTTCCTCAGAATCCATTGTGACTGATAATGTGTATTTTTATTGATGCCTTTATAGTCTGAAAAATGGAGAAAATGTGTAACTAAATATAGTATGTATCAATTCTTAAAACTCTTTTATGAGTTCATTATTCTCTTATTATCAATATTGAGACATGCTCTAGGACATATATACTACTATCATGAATTCTAGAACATATATACTACTAATGAATCATATATAGTATTTTATCTATTTATAACTTTTAAATGCACCAAGTGTCTATTGTATTAAAAATCAATATGGCGAAAGGAAGTACAGTTAGTCATTTAACTGATGAAAAGTTGATGGAAAACTGCCCAGTGAAATACGATGTCTTGGTAACGATCTTTTAAACGCTGGGCAAAACAATAATTCGGTTAGATATATTCAAATTGTAGGTTATGAATCGAAAACATGTCTGAGAAAGCTTACATCCGAAAACAAATGTAAGTGTAGAAAAATTTCGATTTTCAAATTTCCAGTACTAGAGACTTGCACATTGATATCCTGGATGTTCAAAGAAGGCACTTCAGATTCCAAAGTCCGAGAAAACTCGTTGAGAGAAGTGAAACAAGTGAAAGCAATGTATAATTTTTCCTCCTCCCACCGTCTCCTCTTCGTGTGAAAAAAAGTAGCGCGCGCTAATTCCCAAAGAACGAACTGACTTGCAAAAGACACTTATTTGTCAAAGCTTTTTCTCATTATTGATTTACTCGTGACGTTTTCCCGTACGACATCGAAATAAAAACAAAGAATAAAAGTAAGTATGTTTCTAGTACGATGAACGGACGACATCAACGAGTCTCCACCATTTGCTCGTTCATGTTAATGCATTGTTTCCACTGCATTGGAATACGAGTCATACTCGGTGGATGTATCGATAAAACCCACATACATACATATTCGCGCGTTGAGAACGGTTTTTAAAATTGTACAATTACGGGGCCCATGCCGACTAGCTGATTCTGATTTGAAATCAATTGAATTGTCTTTCGCATGAGATAAAAGACTTTTGAAAGCTCATAACGATATAAACTTTTTTGTAGGTAGTTTTTGATAATGCAACGGCCGAAATAATCACATTTAAATGTTAAAATCAATTTTGTCAGTGATTACGAAGTACAATCTTTTTCAAACGTAATTTCCTATTGTAAGTTGCGCTAGTTTTCATTCGATCATCCTTATTATTTTCTAATTATTCTCTTTGTTTTTGTCTGAGAATAAACGATAAGGGCGTTAGTTCAATGCAGCGCATTGGAATATGATATCACGTGTCAGAAGAGTTTTATATTACGAAATTCACAAGGACTTTAACACGGCCTCTTTTGGCGAATTTTTTTACAATGACTCATTCTGATGAGCGAGCGTGTTTATAAAAAGAAATTATAACGAATATATGAATAGATCCTAATCAATCCTGGAAAACTACACAGCTGCACCTCGAAAAATATTTGCGACAACAGCTAGCGAACATTCTTTTGTTCGCAGCGCAGCACAAAGGTAACGTAATTTAAAAGGCTTTCGTTCGAATTGAACGTAACAAACAATACACGTGTACACCCGCATACATCGATGAAAGCTTAATCCGAAAGGAGTGCAAAACACGGGGAAAAAATTGTGCATGATTCCCAATAGAAATGATATTTACTTAATCCCGGAGTGCTTGCGCGATGAAAGACTTTCCGACCTTGGGCGCAAGAAAAGTTCAAAGTCAACTGACTTTTTTTCTCTTCTTTTCGAGGCGAAAAGCCTTGACCGCTTTTTAGGGTTCTCAATATTTATGGGCACAGATCGAAAAATAAAAGAAAATCACCTACCTAGTTAGGCAAAAATATATGCGCGTTGAGCTTGAGAGAGTTCAAGTTGGCAGAGAGGAGTCAAAACACAGCGACGATGGCTTTATAAGCTGAGTCGTTCGTCGTCGACGTCGACGTACACGGCGCTTACTTCAGTTGGTTTAAACTAAACTGTCAGCAATCGAGGCCTTCTGTGCATTGGCGGTGGCGAATACGCGCATGTGTACATACACGGATACGTGTGCGCGTGCCCTGTGTCTGTGTATATGCTGACGCTCCGTTTGAACCTTTTCACCTAAAAATTTAGGTACGGTTAGAATACTCTTCCAGAGTATTGTCGTAATATATGACTAGTTAAATCCACTGAGCGAAAGTATCTAGGAGATAACTAAAACAACTATTCCGTTGTCAAGTTTCTGCACACCAACAACAAAGAAAACGACGACTTCTTTGGATGGAATCTTCCCAGCACTTGATTCTTAGCAAAAGAGAAAAGACCACAACTTAGACAAACTCACCACACGATACACACTCGTATTATCACCTGGCCAAGGGCATATTCTTAATAATAAACTGAGACGACCAAATACTGATGGTGGGTCGAGGGCGGGGAGAGGGGGATACAGAGGGATGTGTGAGATACGCACTGCGAATTTAGTGAAGGTTGCAGCAGCAGCGCAGTGTCTAACGCGTGTCTGCTGCCGAGCCTCTTGCTGTTGACTAACCAATACTATTGCTTTGGTCTGCTGTCCGTCCTTTCCTTTATCCCCCTCCACTTGGCTACGAGCGTGCTCCGGGCAAAGAGTTGTTCTATGAGTTGCAGTTCTCCTCTCCTTCTCTTAGCCAAAAGGCTTGAAGGGGTGCGTTATTGTCTGAAGTCAGCTGCGAATCGATTTGCTTGATCAATATAGGTATACTTAACATCTGTTTTGCCGCTCAGCTGATGCGACAGCGGTGTAGGATTAAAGGGACATGCGCGTAAGGGGAATTGTTTTCTTTTGCTCTTGCTGTGATAGATTTTAAAGCGATGAGGCTAATGATTGTTAAATTCGTGAAATAAGTTATTTATAAAAATTACCAGGAAAAATTTTGGATAAAGCTTAAGATTCTAATTTTATTGTTTGTATTTTATATTTTTTAGTTTTTTGCGTATATACAGTGGTTTATTTTGGAGCAGTGTGAAAACGATCTTTGTGATATTTAGCAAATTTGTTACTAAAAATAAAGTATTTAGCAAATTCATTTTTCCTATTTATTGCAAACAGCTTATTCATTCACATTGTTTGGTAAAGGGAATGGAAAATAAACGATGAGGGTATTTAACATTACTTGTTTATTCAGAATTTCATTATAATAAATCATATAATTTATCAAAATTTCAATAATAGACGTTTAAAATGTTTCAATCGTCTTATTATTGACTAATTCATTTTAACGGTTTCAATTCAACTACAATCAATTAAGTAATTTCTATTTCGGAAGTGAGGACATTGCTACATTGCAACCTTTCAGACGTAAATAAATAGGTCGAAGGATGGATCAATTTTTGTTTTTTATCTCCACCGGAAAATGTTAGCCGATATTATCTAACAAGTTCTATGTTTTTATTTGTTCTTTATTTAAACGTAGCTGTTTTTCAAAGGAAGCAATGAATGCAAATCGACTAGCATGGATTTTTCGCTGATTGTCCTACTTGTGCAAATGTAGGAAAAGAAAATTCAATTACCAAGGGGTTGAAAAATTCAAGTGAATATTTCAACTTCTTAGGAAATGATTGCCATAGCGCAGATATTTTTTAAAACAAAATCAAAATATATAAACAATGAAAAGAAAAATAATAAATCGCACGAAAATTCGAATGTCCGACGCCACTGAGTTGCGTTCTAGAGACAAGGATAGCATGATGATATATATCCCTCGCACGCATATTGTGCGCGCGCATGTGTTCTTCGTATGTATCTACTCGCTCAGTACGACACTGTCAAATACAGCACTATCGTAATTGTTTCATTAAATCAAAATTCAATTGTCATTGATGGATTAAACCGACGTTATTAAAAATAGCGCAATGGCGTGAAAGTTATGTGTGTGAGTGTGTGGTCGTAAGGCTCAGGGCAAAAATGAACTTGCCTAGCGTAAAGGACTATAGTATCCTCGAGAAAATAGGAGCTGGTAGTTATTCTACTGTGTACAAAGCCTTCAAAAAAGTAAGATGTTTTTAACATTTAGTTGATTAGAATAACAATTTTGACTGACGGTTGATTTTGTTATTACTCGGGGTTTAATGGTTTACATGTGCATACGGTGACTGTACAATTACAGATGTATGGAGGTTAGAAATTATCACGGCGCGGTATGTATTTTGGAGAATATGAGTTGACTGAATGAATATTTTTTTCTTTTGTGGCGTCGATAATAGGAATTAATTAGTTTCACCGTATTACAACTAAATGCAATAAATACATATAAATAAGTAATTCATATAGCACAATGAAAAGATTATTTATGCTTGAAATTTTCGAATTTTCATGTAGATATATATATACTGACCGAAAGTTACGGGGCTAAACTGGAATTGAAAAGTTTCGATCAATTATATTTTCAATTATAAAAATAATAAACTTTGCTTAGAAGGAAATATTAGGGTATATGGCCTCTTTTCATATTTTTATGTATAGATTAAGCCTCGGTGATAAAAATACAATATTCTTTGGTGGTGTTTAATTATTCATATAAATGGAATAAAATTAATCGGAATATGAATTGGAAGTTAATCAAGATAGAAAGAATAGGTATTCGTAATTGATATAATCTCGTCTGCATAATGTAGACTAATCGGAATTTGAAAATAAAGATTAAATGCGAGAATAATTCAATAAACCGATTACAACTTTTTCGAATATACATTAATTTTTATAAAGCCGATATTGAACAAAAAATGTTAAATTCATTATATCGTATGGTTATCCAATTTTCTCGTTCAAATATTTATTCATTGGTCTTATTTTTATAAATTTTTTTCGTCATTGAACATTCATTTAAGGAAAAAAAAACGTGCCTTTTAAAGCCATTGAAAACGAATTGCAGTATATTGAATTCAATTTAAAAGAAGGTACATTTACAGGATGGCTCACGTGAAGTGGTGGCGATTAAATGCGTCGACAAGTCGACCCTTTCAAAGTCAGCGATCGAAAATCTCATTACCGAGATCAATTTGCTCAAGATACTCAAGCACGAGCACATCGTTGAGATGCGCGATTTTTTTTGGGATGAGGGGTGAGTTTTTAGATTTATTCTTTACTCATATTTATTGTCAGACCGCTAATATATCTGTAAACAAATGACAAAAAGTGATATATAATAAATTTTATTTCAAAGTTCTTCCGTTTTCTGTCGATACTATTTCTGTAATATTTTCAAGTAATTTAATAATAATTTGAGACTATTTCAAAATGACATTTTTAATCAAATATTAGCATACTGTTGCTAGTAGCATATTTTTTATTATTGTATAAAATATTGTATTTAATGCCTTATGCATTTAAGAATCTAAACTGAAGTACAAAGAGTAAATTAAATTCGTTGAAAAAAATCCAGTCAGTCCGGTCTTTTGAAAATGATTGAAAGGACGCAAGCATTTCTTCAAATACCTTCCTACGTTCTCGCTTAGCCACTAGCTATATTTTTACCGAGTCTGCTAATCTGTTCTCCTAGTACTCTAGCTCCGTATTCAATGGCTACCGTTTGTCGAACTTTGAAACCTAGTGAGGTATTAGATAAGCGCTTATCGGTCATCGACATTTCAACTACTTTACTTTGAGATTGCTATTTTATAAAACGATTATGTCCTGCCTTAGAGCGACCGATTTCAGAGATTCTTAATGGTATTAATTTAGAAACGGTTACTTCCCGAAACGTTGGGAGTTTTCTGTTGTGGTGTCCGACGTGACCCACAGGTCACACTTGAACCATATTTCGTTGTGCATTTTTATAAATGATCTTGTTCCTTTGATCTCATATCCTCAAATACTTTTATATTCTGATGATCTCAAGATATTCACTAAGAGAGACTCAAATTACGCTTCTGCTAACTTACAATGTGATTTAAACACCATAGCTCAACGTGACTACTTAACCATTGCCTTTCACTTTGTTCAAATACGTGCTACGTGATTACTTTTTCTACGGCATTGTAACTATTATTATATAATTGCTCGATTACATGTACTGAGTACATTTATAGAGCCTTTCTGGTTAAAGATGTAGGTGTACTATTTGAATCTCGATTTACTTTTGCACCACGTATTTAATCTGCAGTTTCTCACAACAATAATATTCTGCAGGTTTCATCAAACGATACACTTGCGACTTCAATAACATCAACTCAATGATCTACTTGTTGAAGTTTCTTGTCATGCCCCATTTGCTTTATTGCTGTCAGATTTGGCATCCATGCACTCAAAACATTATTGAAAAATTAGAATTCGGTCAACACAATCTATTCAGATATATAACCTACAAACTGCGATGATTGACAGACTTTAAATATCAGGATTACGTAATATCGCGCCAGAACCTTAAGATACCTTGAGTAAAATCTAAGGATTTTATTCAAAATTGCACGATAACTTTATAATTATACATTATTAATCAAGGGAGTGAAAGTATTGACATGTCCATAGCACGCGTAAATTGACACTCGAGGCGAAGCCGAGGGTGTTAAATATGTGCTAGGGGCTTGCCATTTTCACTCCCGTGGTTAATATACTATTTTTTTGCCTATAGCGCGTAAAGTGCGTGTTGTGAAACCTGACATCCGGGTTTCAAGACGCATTTTACGCGCTGTAGACAAAAAAATTTTAAATAATCCTCTCACTTGCTCCACTAACCCGAAAGATTTCAACATCATCAGCGTAGAAAAATATTTGAGAATTTAATTTGGACTCTGTTTTTGACAATCTGCGATCGTTTGGAGCTTTAGACGAGGACGTCCGCATTAAAAAATATACAGAGCTATGAAAAATATACACAAATTCCTACCCTACTTTTCCAAGATGGCGCGCTAGTCTACGTTTCCGGAGACTCACCATTTAATTTAATATTCAATTAATTTTATTTCAATTAATTATATTTAATTAATATTCAATTCTAACTAGAAATTATTTGAAGGTCTTTATGGTCACGTAATCAGAGTTGGCGGCCATATTAATTGTGCAAACTAACGCCGACATCTCGAAAGTTTGGCTAGAATTTTTGTACGTTAGTTTAACATTGCGTTGACATTCCATCTTATAGTCTTCGCGAATATGTTAGTAACTATAACATTGGTTTTAATACTGTCTATCATGTATTAAATTTGTTTCGAATCTAACACAAATTGTTTTCAGGGTTTTCTAACAAACTTTCAACTTTTTCTATCTATTTAACCTATTCGTTCCGAACCTAAAACTGTCATATTGTCATCAACCAGCAAACTAAATAAACCAGTCTTTCTCTCTGTAAACCTACTTACATGACACTATCACGTGTAAAATGACACGAGCATGGAATACTTTACCAAATACGCCTTTATCAATTGATGACATTCACATGTTCCAAATTTTTCCGTACGCACTCTCAACCGCCTACTGTTAAATCTCAATTATACAGTTTAGTCTAATATTATAGTTAATTTTATTTTACTGAATTATCTCATTGCAATTTTGTGCAGAACTTACGTTCGTTTAATGAATGAGAATAAAAATGTAAAAAATATTACATAGCGAACATTCCATCTACAGAAAAATAAAGACAATAGATATCCAATTCTTTCAAACCTGATAGTAATGAATAATTTTTGCGAATTTATCTGCAGTCACATTTACATAGTGATGGAGTATTGCAATGGCGGGGACTTGTCCAACTTCATAAAGCGCAAGCATAAGCTTGCAGAGCATGTTTGCCGCAAGTTCCTACAGCAACTCGCTCTTGCGCTCAGGTATCTGCGCGACCATAACGTCTGTCATATGGACCTTAAGCCGCAGAATTTGCTGCTTGTCAAGAGACCTGTGCTTGTCCTTAAAATTGCCGGTGCGTTGTTATTTCCTTTATATTCTTGCCTGCATAATTGGGTGAGTTATTTCTGAGGAATATGCGAGGAATCCGATTACGATTCTATATACGCAGGGAAAATAAGAGGGTAGTTTCCTTATTGCTGGGATATTTGGTTTTGCATAATATTTCAAGTATACAATGTTATTTTACGAGATTTCGATGAAGAAATGGATTTTGATTTTTGAAAATCAGGCATATTTTATTAAGTCATAAATATAAAATGTTATAAATGTTTATTAGTTGTAAATCAATAAACTGTAGACAATTATATATTAAATGAGATTTTTACAAGCGAATAAATAATTTTTATAAGAAGGAAAAACGACGTGTCAAATTAAAAAAATGCATTATTTGACCCATTATCCATCATAAATTAAAAAAACATTGTTTCTAATAAGAATTGTTCTTTTGAAGAATAGATATAAAGTATCTTTAAAAATTGTACATTCTCTTTATAAAAGACAATCGCAATTGAATAACTTTCAATCATGGCTGCAACTCCTGTAAAAGGAATATATCAATAACGTCTAGACGCTTTATCCGTTACAGATTTTGGTTTTGCGCAATACCTCAGCATCTCTGAAACGAAGTTCTCAATAAGAGGTTCACCATTGTACATGGCGCCGGAGATTCTACTACGTCACAAGTACGACGCCCGCGTCGACCTCTGGAGCGTTGGTGTCATCATGTACGAGTGTCTTTTTGGCAAAGCACCTTATTCTAGCAATAGCTTTCCCGAACTCGCCGAAAAGATCAAGAGTATGAGGCCGATTGAGGTGATTAATTATAGTTTTATCTTGTTAATTAGGTATAGCGTTTGGTTTGATTCAAATTTCAATGATATATTTTATTTTTTGAACTTACTCTTATTATGTTTCGTAACGTGATTTAAATTTTTATTTTAATCATTAATGTTAAACATACGTGCTATAAATAATTGATAATAATTTAGCTAATATTACGCGACATTACAGACACTAAGAAGATAATTTTTGAGTATGTAGTTATTAAAAAGTAAACAAAAAATTTTTCGTTTTAAGTCAACTAAAACTAAAATGTTCTAAACCTTTCTCCGCTAAGAAACTCGTTATCGAAAATTGAACGTGAAAAATCGTTCTTTGTACTTATTATTATTATTATTATTATTATTTTTACGAATTAGGAAACTATTTTTTTACACACGATCACGAAAAGAGAAATTTTAAGCGAATTCATACACGATTATTAGTGCATGTATTCTCTTCGCTAAATATATATTGATTCTTCTGAAACTTGAAACTTTAGGGAACATAAATTTCATTTTACTTCAATATTTTTCATAATTAATTCAATATTTCTCGCAATTCGGAGCTGATCTATGTCTACATTTACACTTATTTACGAGAATTATTTATTTGACATCTGGTTGTTTCATAAATATGTAACCCATTACATACAAATGCATCGTGCGCCGATGGTATTATATTTTATGCATGGATTTAAAATTTCTTATTTCTTAATATGAATTACATCGGAAAGGTCTAATTTCAGAATATTTATTAAAAACATACATTTAATGATGTGTACGTAATAAGTAACACAATTGTAACATTATTTTTATTTTAACAAGTAGAGAGACCAACAAAAATATAATTAACTGTGTTTTAGTATTTTATTTAACGGGTATCCACATTTATTGCAAAAGTTAATAAGAAATGAACTGTTGAGAAATGCGTGGTCGAGCACGGGTTGCTGTATTTTTATTGTATTTTGGGTATTGCTCTAAGAGATAACCCAGCTCAGGCTATAACACCTTTTGCTCGTTGACCGTTCGACGCTGATTGATGACCAATGTGTTTTAATGTAGCAATAAATATATTTTCGGGATTTCTCTGCGAAAGGATGCGTCTAGCTGCAGTTATATTTATAATTGCAGTTCAGTTCAACTCTAACACTCGAAGCAGTAACACCTGACTTTTGAGTAGCTCTGCGTCTATTCTCATTTTATGTAATGTTTTTATGTGCGTCAACAAATATTGAATATTTTATTCTGCCAGAACGATTGAGTTTATTTTGCTTAATAAATTCAATGCGAGTAATCGGCGTGAATTTAGATTTTCAATGATAAAGTTGATAAAGAACGTGAGGTTGCTTTTGATCTAGCGTAGTTGCCGAAAAGCTGTCACATATCGACGGAGTGCAAGGATCTGCTGCTAAGGCTGTTGAAGCACGACCCCAAAGAGCGACTTACATTCGACGAATTCTTCACGCACGACTTCCTCGACCTCGAACATGCACCCACTAAAGAGAACTTCGATAAGGCTGTGACTCTTATACATAAAGCTGTGAATACTGACAATGAGGGATGCCATAGGGAGGCTTATCATCTCTACTGCGAGGCGCTTCGTTATTTCATTCCTATCTTGACTAGTGAGTTTTAACCCTTTTCTACTTTTTGTTTGGTAAATATCTACGTGTATACTTCTTGGCTGTTTTTTGATGGCTACTTTTTAAAATGCGAAATTGATCCAGCCGGTACTTTTTGCATGGAACTTTGAAACAGAAATATTTTCAGTAAATTCTTCATCGACTATTGCATTATGTATATATTATTTTCAAAAGGTTGCCGACCTTTTTCTAAGATATTGAATTCCAAGCCGTATACCTTTCTTGTTTACGTCTATTTCCACAGGTGGAAGCAGACGTACGTTTTTATTAATTTTTTTGCTAATTTGGTCGTATTTCCAAGCACAATTCCAGCAATTTAGCGGCATACATAATTAATCATCATACATTGAATGATTAACTGTAGTCGACTGCTTTGAAAAAAAAATATTATATTTCAAATATTGATCGACAAGAAGCGATATTTATAATTAACATGTTTAAATCTCTTTTCCCGTTCTATCTTAGTATAATTCAGTTGGAATATTGATACGTATTTTTAGTTGTTTAATCTGATACGAAAACTTTAATTGGCGTGTACCCGGTTTTTGTTAGTTGATTTTTTAAATATTGATTTATCCGGATGATGGGATTTCGTTGAAAAAAGCTCCACCTCGTCAAACTGTCACTACGTGTACTTTACTAATTGGGCGCTTTCATACTCTCAATTCCGTTAATATTAACAAGCATTTGTTTAATGAAATTGGACTGTAACAATTTTTGCAGTAATGCAAGATTGAAAAAGTTCGCGTTGTACGAAATTTTCAGTAATGTATTGGTTATTTTTCGTTTGTTTGTTCCATTGCAATCTGCAAGAATCGAATCTCATTTTAACGATTATCTAATTAATGTTTGATCAGAACGTTATTTTGAGGAAGTATGCAATTCGATTCTTGGATACACTATCTTATCTTGGAATTTTCGTGCAACGATACGATCTTTTATGAAGATAATAAAGGAATTTTCCGCATTTGATTAGCATATGATTGGTTTACTTTGAAAACGCTCATAGATCGCGAAGTAATTAATTACAAAAGTAGGAGAAACTTGAAATCGCCCATTTGCTTAATTGATATTTCGCGAACTGATCTGCACCAGACTTTTTATTATCTTTTCTTGATGACCGTTGAAAGAATAACATTGATTCTGTCTGTAGATTGAAAAGAAGATCTTCAATATAAAAACGTGGTTTAGCAAAGAAAGACCTCAACCTATATTTCTATACAAATAATCGTTTCGTCGATATAAACCCAAATCAGCTATACTTTACAAATTAATAGCGTTCGTCTGTCGCGCAGATGAGTCTGATTTACAGAAAAAAGAGGCGTTGAGATTGAGTGTGAACGAGTACATAAGGCGTGCGGAAGAGTTAAAGGACCTAACTTGTGCAGATCCCGAGAAAAACAACCAGGATGCAATGGTAGGTGCGGAACCTTGCAAACAATCGAAGTGTGACTCCCTGGAGCGCCATGACGCTGTCAACTTTCAGGAATTATGTTAGTACATCAATTGTTTTTTTTCGCTTAAATACGTGGTTGTGTGTGTAAACTTTATAATCGCATGCCAAAAGATCTTTCTTCAGCTGTCGTCAGCTTCAACTTATGATTTTTCGCTTCTAGTTTTTCGTTTTATATTTCACTGATGCAAAAAAAGTTTTCCGCTAAGATATCTTTTTTACAAACTACGTCGCGTTTTTGATTAATTCTTCTATTCTAAATGAAAACTTAAATTTTTTTAGAAACATGACATTTTGATACGTGTTTTTTAGATTTTCCAATTTACAAATTCAAAGTGAACGATTATGCATTTATTTTCAAAGTTAACTTTTCATAAAATAAAATAACACAAATCATTATACATTCAAAGCTTTTTATATTATTATTACTATTATTATTGTATTTTCCAGACATGTACAGCGTAATAGCTTTTTACATTACTCTTTACGTTCTTACGCACACGATTGATTGTAAATTTATATATACATATATACAAAGTAAACAGTTCGGCGTCACTTCTTCCTTTTTTCAAAGTTTTTTTATATTACTATACCAATAAAATTATGTATTCCTAATGCCACAAATTTCGAACATATCGAATTTACATAAATATTTACTAAAAAATAATTACTACAGAAAGAGATTTTATATAAACAGAAGAAACTTTACTGTTGTCTTTTTATAAACAAAAGAATCTTTTTAAATTATAGAAAACCTCAGTAGTATTTCATCCTCATATTAACAATAGAGCCTAAAGGTAAAAAATAAACAATATCTGGTCAACTGCAGGTGTGCTAAGCAGGAGTACCGGGGGTATGGCAGATGCTCTTGAGATAGGGGAGGTGGCGGAGCAATACCTGGCCGAAAGCAACTATAATCTCGCTCTCGAAAAGTTTCAATCGTGCCTGAAGATTTTGGTACCGCTGCTTGGCAAAGAACCTCCTAGCCGCAGACGCGAACTACTTTCCAAACAGGTAATCTTTATAACTAAGCTACCCTTCTCCTTCCATCTGATTCTTTCCCATGGAAATGTTTAATGAGTAGACGAGAAAGAAGAAAGCAGGAGAAAGAAGCAGTAGATCTTGTTTCTTTTTGCAATTAGAATAAGTAAAATTCACTTTACAAATTATTCGTAAAATTTATAAGAGGAAGTAGAAATTTTCTGTTTTTTTTTTCTATTGCAAAAATTATTTTGGTATGAGATGAAAGTATAATGAAATTATTACTAAGACAAATTTTAAAGACAAGTTTATCGATTAATTAAAGCTTTGATTAGTTTTTTTAATTAAAAAATAATCAAGAATGTTATTTAAAATATGATATGTATTATATTACTGTGCAGATACACAAGTGGATGAAGGAGGCAGAAAGTACAAAGGCTCTCTTAATTACTCGTGATATGGAAAAAAATGTGCAGCGCGCTCCAGAGTACCAAATCCAAGAACAATGTGCATTACAATAACTTTGCTTGACCTTCAAGACGTCTTATTTTTATTTAGTTTAATAAATATTTGTACAAATCTGGATTTTTCTTTGCTTTACGTCCTCGAAAGTTTACCATTATCTTCCTGTCTTTTTCTCATTTTGGAAACGAAACCTACATTATAAAAATTTTATACAAGTAACATGTTTCTTCCTCTTACATAACACTAAAAATATTTTGTTGACTATACAGATAATTAAGACTGTGCATAAGTTTTAATTTCTTATCAGCTTCTAAAAAATGTCTATAAAAAGCCGCTATAATTCCACTTGGGCGTGACGGGGGTACTGTGGTTCGAGAGGAAAACCGAATAAGAGAGTAGGGGAAACGCACATAACTCCCACCGAAAAACAGTAGAACTACATTTAATCTGAATTAATACATTTTAACCACTGACGTCACGATGATCTTACGCAACGCCAAAGTGCGTTTCATAATTTTTTATTTACTCAACCAGAGTAACATTAATTACATAACAATAATAAATATCCATATACATTACACATGCATGTAATTCAACAGAGCAAATAGTTTTCTATTCGCTTGTATTGGAACTTTATTTAAATGATTTCATTTTCATTTATTTTTTTATCCTTAAACATCGCAAAATTATCTAGTTTATTTTTGGTTTCAATTTTATTGCAAAATCCAGTAAACAACAATTAGGTTAACGATAATTGTTTAATAATTGGAAAAAAAGTTATATTGCATTTTTTTGGTAGTCTTAATCATCAAAAAATATCCAACAAAAAACGACAATTTCTGATTAATTAAAACGAAAGTTTTGATTAACCAGAATCAAATTGGTAATCATTGCGAATGTTTCGTCACCAATTCTTAAATGAACAAAAATTAAGAAATAAATAAAACAAGAACAATAAATCAAATAAGATAAGTTAAGCATAGTAACTAAGAAAATATGGAAAGTTCTGCTGTTGAAAAATTATCCTGTTATATATATATGCGTGTATTATACATTTGTCTCGTCTCATTGATTTTGTCCTTTAAAGAAATTTTTAAGGTTATGAATAGGTTAATAAAACATTAAAAATGTTAATGCATGAACTACACAATGATGAAAATTTACAATCCATAAAATTAAGTTCAACTTCGTTTTAATAATAGTAAAAAATGAGCACGACTATTAATATGAAGTATATCAAAAGTTGATGCCTAACAAGGATGATAGGTTAAATCGCTCAGCTATGTATATTACCTAATCAAGTTCAGCGCATGCGCAGTCACGGGCAAACATTATTTTAGCCTCACTAATCTGAAAAATTCGATAATGTTGTAATTTTTAATTTTAAGCTAATAATGAAAATTGAAAAAAATGAAAAATGCCTTTTACACATATTCATTTTTTTAATCTCTAAAGGTTTAACCTACTTTCCATTTTATAACCGCTTAGAATTTGCAAAGGTAACATATATGCACACAAATTTCTAAAACAATTCGTTAAGTAAAAAATAACGTAAAGCTCAAAAAGCCAGAAAAGCAACTTTATGTTCTTTGTTCAGTAGTTCCTTGGCGTCCCTCATGATTTGTGGTAGCGCTAGGGTCGCGGTCGCCACGTAATGGCCGTGCCTACGCCCAAGGCAATTAATCACTCTCACGACAGCGACTTCCGGTACGCTTTTTCTATACATAGCATAGACAGAGAAAGATAGATCAGACAGCATTCTCTCTCTCTCGCTCTTTAGCGAGCGAACGACCTAACCTAACGTAGCTTTCCTTGTATGTGCACACACATGTGCACACATGCTCAGACTTCGCAGGCTCGGCCTTGTGGAAATTTTCCACTCCCGTTAGAGAGTATGCGCTCTTCCCCCACCAAATGCCAGCGGTCCCGCCACGTGATCTGTGCACACAAAGAACTGGCAGCCCCTACCACCTCGTTTATAGCTTCGCCAGTACCCCCCACCAGTCAATCGGATGTCAACGGCTAAATGGCGGCTGAGCTTAGTTGTGTAAGTTTTAGCTATCTAGTGGGGGGAGAGAGAAAGCGCTCTCGGTTTACATTGGTAGAGCCATGCGGGGAGCGCGGCGGGCAGCAGAGGAGAGGTGGCAACGTTCCATCCACGCTTACACGCTCACCATCATCGAACATCAGTCGGCTGCTTGTGCGCGCGGCGTTTTCTCAGCTAAGTTTTGTCATAACCGCCGCTATGCGATACACACGTCAGGTGTTGTAGCTTTCAACGGTATTTTACGTATGAAATTGCAACTTTTATAGGTTACAAGGACTGACATATGTGTATGTTTTTTTTGTGTTTTCTTGAATGTGTAGATAAAAAAATGATTAAAAGAAAATTGCCGGGCGCGTGTTAATACTTGCGCGCGCTCGCTACGACGGTGTTTTGTTTATTTCTCAAGTTCAAAGCAGTTGACTTTAGTTTGGGAAGTTATATAGCGTGTCATTGAAAAGTTCCAACGGAAGACGTTTTTTTATTCGTTTTTTTATTCCAAAAAAAGTGGAGCTTTTTTTGACAACGACGTCCTTACCGTGAGAAATTATGTGCATGGATGTCCAGAACAGCGAGAAGATGGGGGACAACCTCGACGAAGAAGTGCAAATAGTAGAGGCACGCATCGATAAGGGTAAGCTAGATCTTTGACCTTTGAGGTTATGCCTCGATGAAATCTCATCTCTCTCTCTCTCTCTCTCTAAAGTTTTTTATCTTTGGATAATTTATTCTCTCATTTATATCGTCTTCAGACACTATTTAAATTTTTAGTACTTTTGTAATAAATCAACTTTATTTTTATCAAAATATATTCGTTCATTTTTTTTTATTTAATAATATTCAATCACTACTCAAAGTATTTTTATACTGTAAAATAATCACAGTATTGACTTCATTCAATTAAAGCGAAACAATTGTGGAAGGTTTTTTCTATGCAACTAAACCCTATTTCGGTTTGCGCGCGCTTTTCACGCGTTGAGTTGTACACACGTTTGATGTACATCGGTCTGTTTTCGATTAGCAGTCGCCGCTCTCGAGATGCAGCCCGCGTGCGCCGCACGCTGTCAGTACAGCACGTTGCCCACTCAGTGGTATGTCTGTAGTGAATGCATTTTTTCAAATACGAACAGCGCTTAGCTCTTAGTTGTACGGGTGGATGCTTTTTTTTCTTACGATACTATTGAACTAATTCAGATTTACTTTTTTTTTCCATGTAATATCGTTGTAATTCTATAAATATATTTCTTTTACAATGACTGAGAAGATATCGCATTCGATCAACGCGCTCAAGTGAGATTGCATAATACTGCCTTATTAATACTAAAAAATTCGATAATGTGTATTTTTTATTTTAAGCCAAATGAAAATTATTAAGAATTATAAATGTGTATAAAAATACACATTTTCATTTTTTTAAACTTTATTTTATTTATACCTTGTAGTAAATCGAGATATAAGTGAAATGAACAATGTATTATTGATAGATATTTGTTTGCACATAAATATGGAATAGACACTGGTCGATTTTATTATACTATCATTTTTTATCAACTAGACCACTTAAGTAGTATCATTTGATTATCCGTAATAGCATTATACTTTCTTGAACAATAATCTGATATGAATTTTTTTATCCCATGTAAGAATTTTTACTTATTTTGAAATGTTGATACACAGTTCTCAAAAATAAAATCCAATTCTGAGAACAAGCTTATAGAAAGAAAATACTGGCATCGCTATTGCGCATGCTTGACAGTCACGTGACTCGTTATTGTGTCATAAACTGTTATTTTAAGAATACAAAATGGCGGATAGATTTTCGTAACTGTTTTATTTTTAAACATTTTTACCGCTCTATAAAATATTGGCTTCCGCTTATAAATTATATTTTTGCGGAAATATGAATAAACAATTTCAATTTATAAAAAATTTTCCACCTAACTTAGCATCAAATTAAATATGTGCTAAGTCATTTTAAGTTACTTTATATTTTAGCACGTTACTATAAGTAACTGACGTAGTAAAGAAACTAAACGGTAAACGGATAAAGATGATATCATTCAATAATCGTCTATCTATATTGAACTGCAAGACAAAATTTAAATACAGCGGCAAGCGCTCATATGAAAACATGAATAATTGATCAGTTCGGTTCCTAATCTAATAAAATGCGCAGGTTCGCCTCTTATATATAATACAGACTAAAAAAGCAGCGCGTTAGCTGGTAAGTGCGTGTCTGTATTGCTCTCACACGCAGCCACCACTACTTAGAAGAACGACAATCTCGCGTTCGTCGAGCTCGGTAAGTTGCGTGCGGCCCGGTACAAATCAGCGCCAGTACCGAACAGAAACTGCGTGTGTATAAGAGCCAATGCCCGTACTGGCGCTGATGCTTCCGAAGCAAAGGAAGGAGGTGGAATGTGATGTAACAAAAGAGGTAGTTTACGAAGATACACGAGAATTGCCGAATAGCAGTTTGGTCAATTGGTGTTTGTGTATGTATGTACATGTATGCATTTGTGCGTGTGAGTCGTGCAGCTGAGGAGATACAGAGAGAAAGAGAGAAAACATGCCAGCTGCAGCTCTTGTGACGGCCATTTCGCATATTCGCGAACTATGCATGGTATTGAGAAAGGACCCCATGCATGTTGTGATAAAAAAATTTCGTTTTAGTTCTTCCAACTGCTAGTTTTTTTAATTTCTTATCGTTTTTTCCTTTGTTTAAACTGCACTTTAGCTTCCTCTTTGATGCGCGTATTGGCTGTCGCCAGCGTGCATCGGGATATAAAGATAAAGGCGTCGGTGCATGTAGATAGTGTTATTGTTAATGTTGTGGAATATTCCTTTGAGGTTACGTAAGCCTTCTTCAATGCTAATAATAATTGCGAGTTAAAGCAAAAATAATGTATGACAAACTGGGATTTCAAGGATAGATAAATTATGGTATGCTAAGTGCATTGCGCAGAATTATGACTAAATTCGTTAAATTAAGCATTTGATATAATTTGTTTCGAAAAAAAAAAGAAATGTTGCAAACTATCATGTACAACTATTTACTTATAACTTTTTCCCGAGCGTAGCTCGAACGTTGCCATTTTGTCTTACTCAAGAAGCGTTATCCCTACCACTTAAGTACTGCGCATGCGCAAAGACTCACAAAGCCACGTGGAACAGAAACCAACAACAAAAGTATCTTGAAACTGTATGTAATGGTTTCAATATTGAAGGTTAATTATTGTTGATAAGTAATTTTATTTTATTGTAATTTTATTGTACTATATAACCATTTTCCTTACCACCTCAGTTACCAAGTAAAGTGGATAATAACTTTAATATTTTAAGTTAATAAGAATTTGTATATAATTTTCTAAATAACATTGATGAGTTGAAATAATAACGTTAGTGAGGGGACAAGTTCTTCATTACAAAATCAGATTTAATATTGAATTGTAGAATTGTTTAGAAGCTACCCAAATAACATGGTAGATCACGTGGTACAACCCAATTTAGGTACAACGAAGATCTCTAACCCGTGGTAGCTAGTTCGATAAATCAACTACACGATACAAAAGACAACTCATCAATACGAGATTACGCCCAAAAAATAAAAAAAAACAGTGGTTCCATCGAGTATATGTGTGAAAAACCGTGCCTGTAGATTCGGCAACGTCGCGCACGCTCGTAAATCAACTTTAAAATAATAAGCTTATCGTGGTGTAGGTAGGTCCAGTACCCATTCGTCTTGTATGTGTGTATCGTCCCAGTACAGGATTGCGCAGTGGTAGGCTGGACTGGCCGGGTTCTGCGCAGCTTTGGTTCTCCCACCACTAACTTGCGTTTCCCCCGCCACTCGACACATTCCATTGCCCTGTGGTGGGGGATACGAGAGTGCGGTGTGCAAGCAACGGTTTATATCTATATATCCCTGGAAACGTTTGCCAATCTTGGCACTTTGCCTGAAAGAGCATATCGACCGTGCGACGTTGTCGCGTCGCGGGGGCGCGCATGTAGGGATCTCTCGTTCGCAAGCGCACACGGAAACCTGGACCGTCTTTAGCCTCTCGTCTCTCTGCATGTATACGTACAAAGTGTATGCCGATGCAGCTGCGTTCTGTGCGCTGTGGTCCACGCGATGCAGCAATGATCGCTTGCTGAATCGATAAACATTTTGCTTTTTTTTGGGGTCGTAATGGTATGGTTTTTTTTATATTTTAGAATACATTTGCTTGTGGCCCTTTTTACATTTTTCTTTGAGATATACTGCTTTTAATTTTTGCAATTTAATCAGCAAAAGGTCTGATATATCAATATTATTTAAAATGATACTTATCGCGCGTTTTAATTGTATTCCAATTGATTGACGAAACATCGTTGTTGGTAACCGAGTCAACTGAGTCATCATGAACAAATGCAAACAAATTGAAAAATCGATTTTTACTCACGTTACCGAGAGGCGAAAACAAATAAGGCAGAAAGCTTTTGCTTGGGGCTTTAAAAAGCTGAAAAACTGAAAGAGTTGTATTTTGTATGAAGCAAATATTTATTGTTACTGTAGTCGTACTCGAAATTGAATTTAATTAAAAACGTTATAAATATATGAATATATATAATATCTTATATATATTCATGCTACATTTTTACATTTTAGATTTAAAAGATTGAAAAAACAGCCCATATAAAGTCCATACCCTTTAAAAATTTAACACTAAGCATGCGATTAAAATTTTGTAAACAAACTGTTGACACTTTTAAATTTACTTTTAGTAAATTAATTTAATTTTTAATTCAAATTAATTCACCAAATTCATGTGAAAAACTTCTACTAAAAATATAATTTCTTTAAAAAGTTGCTGTCCCATTTCACAATTATTTAGTTTATTTCGTAGCATGTTTTTTTATAATTTTAATTTTTGGAACAATCGACATTCTCCAACGCAAATGAGCATACTAGACTAGCGGATATCACGAATTCCAGGGAAATTAGGTTACCAGTTATGAGTCATAATCGAACAAGATTTTTTTTCTTGATGCAGACCAATGTAATTAAAAAAAAACTTGAAGTCATTCAACCTAACAAGCGAACACACTCTCAGAAAATTCAAAATGTAAAAAATGCTACCGGTCGTCGGATAAACACGAAAGCGTGCGTGCAAAAAAAAAAAAATAAAAAGAAGCCAGAGAGCAAATGACATTGTAAAAAGGAAAGCCCGTAAAAAAGTGGTACAACAGTGTACCTATGAGAGGTACTAGTCGTCTCTCTCGCGCTTTCTCGCGAAGTGAGACAGCGCTATATAGTGCGCAATACTAACGTAGCCGTACAGCCACGCAGACACATGCATGTATACACATATACAAGCCAGTACTGCTCCTCGGCGCCGCTCTCGGTCGTCGCGAGAACGCGCGTGGCGCCCCCAGTCCTCGGCGACGCGCCGTCCGGGTCGCTGCTATTAACGTTTGCCACTCAACCTTTCTAACCTAAAACCACAAGCGAGGAGGTGTGGTTCTCTCGAAGATGCTTTTCATTTTTCATATATCCTAGTGCGCGAGTCACCCTGCTCTTTAGACACGCGTACACTTAGTCGACGTATCAATATATATCACACTTCCTTATACGCACACATACACGCGCATTGCTGCTGTTGAGGGAAAGAGAGGAACGTACATAGAGTGCGGGACCTCCTCGCGGTAAACAACCACGGAGTAAACTTTCGCCGCCGTTGCCGTCGTCGTGGAGCTGCTGCAACAAACGCATACAATTAACGCTGTCCCGATGTACGTTACGGATGACGGTACGTTTTACCTCCATATACTTAAGCGACGGAGTGAGAGAGAGAGAGAAAGAGAGAGAGAGAGAGAGAGACACTTGTCGAGGCTCACTGCGATGCTAACTCTCACGGAGGATGCTCATTGACGTTAGGTATACCTGAAGGATGAAGCTACATACGAACTGAAAATTTTATAATGACAGGGTTCTCACGTCATTTATAGTGCAGTTCAAAATTTGTAAATATTTTTATGTTTAGTTTAATGGTAATTCGACAATAAAAATACATTGAATAACATTGAAAGTAACCTTGGTGTTTCTAATCATTCATTAGAGATCCTTGAGAATTGAAATTTTTGAGTTACGACTGATCGAATACTTCTATTTTGATATTTCAGAAGCACTGAACAAAGTACCAGTGAAGCAAGAACGTCCAGATGAAGCAGAAATCAGGGAATTGGCTGCCAAAATGGTGGAAGCAAACAAGGCGAAAATGGGTACAGCTGCAGCCCAGGCAGCAGTAGTTACTTCTGTTATGCCACCAAGGCCGCCAGGGTACAATCAGCAGCTGTCTGGACTATTAGGCTATTTCAACAACAGCAAGAAGCCAGTGACAGATCCAGCCTCTCCAAAACCTCAGTTAGAGGGCAAAGTCGCATTAGATGATGAAAGCCAAAGAGGACGCTTTGGATGGACAAGCTTTGTTGACAATCACATACCTTACATATTCAGGGCCAGTGAAAAGTACTGCGCAGTCAGGATTCTGGAGTCCAAACTGCTCAATAAGTACCTCAGTTACCTTCACTCTGATATCTACAGTTGCACATGCATTAGGAGTTACTACATTACTGAGGCTGAGAGTAAACTCTTAAATGAGATCAACATGAAGCACTGTGAGAATCAGTTTGGCCGAGAACAATTCACTTGCAAGGACCTGGTTGTCAGGCTAGTGGATGCCAAGGAATTCTATACGTTTCTGGATGTGTGTTACACAAAGCTGACCTCAGCATCTAATCAGAATGCTCTTGTTGGGCATAACAAACCAGACAAGTGTGGATTCATAAGAATCAACAAGGAGTCTGTAGTTCCATATACTATCAAAAGTGGCCTCAAGTTTGTTCCCCTCTTCTATTTTGAAGGTGAAACGGACAATCTCAAGCTCAAAGCAGAAAAGTTGGAGGGCTGGGACCTGTCGTACTTAAAGTTCTGCTGCAAGGTACAGGGTATAAGGAATGAACTGTTTGCGAGTGAAACGTGTTCGGTGATCAGTTTGAATGACATTAAGAGTTACTTTCCTCCTGGTACGGGCTTTGAGGACTATTGGCCCAGCAAAGTGATGGACTCTCAATTGTTAGTGACTAACAAAGGTAGTGGTAGTGGTGGTGGTTGGACAAAACAACCTCCTGCACCTCCGGTTACAAAATCAGTGCAGAACAATGTGTCAAAGAATTCCATGAATGCAAGGGGTGCAGCATTGCAAAATATGTTGCCACAGCGTAATTTACCTGCGTCTACACTGCAGAGAGTCAGTCAGAGGCCAGTTGTTACTACTCATCCAGTTCACTCTGCGCCTTCTGTCGCATCCACTATTAGGAATAACCAAGTTTCTCAGCCAATGATGAATGTTCAAGCGACGGTAAATGGATGGTCTGGACTAGTGGGTGGACAGCCTACATTTCCGAATCCACTTGTCTCACAGGCTAATTCTATCATTAGAATGACACCAACTAACTTGAATATGCACAATGTAAGAATGGATACTGAAAATGTTAACATGTTATTTATTAGAGTATAACTATTGAAATAACAAATGATTTTTATATTTTAGCAATTAGCTGTTAGTAATAAAAGTTATAATAGACCATCTTCAAGGAGTAGAACTGAAACTCCACAACAGTACCCAGTATATTCAAATACAACTATGCAGCCAGCTGTACCTCCTCCTCTCATTAGAGCAACTGCGCATTCCAGTCAACCTAATCTAGGGTAAGATTATCTTTGTAGCTTGTTTTTTTATCATTCTTGTTACATTTTGTATAGATAATCAGTTTTTTGTACTATTTATCGCATTCATTTTCAGCCATCTATAGCATTTGTACAAAGTAGTATACAATAACCATTATGGAGAATAGACAGATAAACATTGAATGATGTGATAATACTAAAATGAACTTTTCTCATTCTTTGAAAACAAAATTGAATGGCCAAATAATGTTATTTATTCTGAAAATTAGGTGCATTTCTAATTCAAATTTACAATAATAATTACTGTTATATGTGTTGAGATTTTAATACAACAAACATACGAGCATCATTTGTAGTGAAGTTTATTTGTCTATTCCTTGCTTATATTTAATATCACTTTTGCACTAATAGGTTCATGAAGTAAAGTTGTAAATTGTCTAGTTGTCCTACTATTCATTTTTGTACCTTGTACATACAATATTGTATTTTTTAATATAGTTATCCAACCTATGGGAAGGATGACTGGTGAGTCCCCAATATTATGTGTAATATTCACTTTATATATATATATATATATATATATATATATATATATATATATATATATTACGTTATATCTACAATAGAACAAACAGGAAACAGCATGAGAAGCATTTTGAAAATAAAAATAATTTTTTCCAACACTCAACTACCACTCTGTTTTCATTTATAAAGACAATATAGTTTTATCATCTTCGAATTTAATTTCTACTAACATTTATGTAGGCAAATAAATAGAATGTTTTGCATGAAAACGTGGCATAGATACACATATACCATATTTTGTCATACTTTTATTTAGGAGACTCATCTTTAGTCTTTTCCATTGATTTCTGAAAATAAATAAATTACAACACATAGCTTGTTTGATTTATGCTTGAATCATTCGTTTATACAATTTTATCCCCAAGTGTACATGTACACGCATAAAACCAATCAATAACGCTAAAAACATTGATATGTGCCAAATTCGTGCGCGACAGTTCTGCATTAAAGAAGTTGTACATTTCCTTCATTGCAGGGTATCGACAACGTATACATCACCGAGCCTCGGCGTACCAAATCCAGCGACGGCAAGCACTTATCCTCAGATGTTAGGTCTAAGCGCGGAACAAGTGCAAGCATTGTTACCACAGCCAACATCGGCAGCGTCGCTGATGAGTCATGCACAGAGGCATACGTCACCGGTACTGAGTACCAGTCATCCAGCTGCTGCACATAGCAACAGTCACACTAAGTATCCACCACCGCTCATACCCGTTAACGGCAGCAGCAATAACAATAGGTGAGACACAAACACACAGATGCTGCTGCGTTATTTCTTGTAAAACTTTTACCTACTTTTTTTAGTTTGTATAAGTTCACGTAGTTCTTCTTTGTTTGTAAATTTAGCACATTTGCAAAATTTAGGCATACTCTTATACATTTCACCTTTATTTCTCTCTCTCGCTCTCTCTCTCTCTCTCTCTCTCTCTCTCTCTCTCTCTCTCTCTCTCTCTCTCTCTCTCTCTCTCTCTCTCTCTCTCTCTCTCTCTCTCTCTTTGTTTTTTTCTCTTTTTGTTTTTTTCTCTTTTTGTTTTTTTCTCTTTTTGTTTTGTAAAACCGTTGCGAGGCGAACATTTTCTGTTGTAATACACGGAAAAATGACACTATGTTGTAATTTAGCGCAATTTGTGTAAAAATAATTCAACATTGACGAGATTATTTGTTTTTGTAATCAATAAAATACATTTAAGAATTTTAAAAAAACGGTTTCTTGCTGTTGTCATTTTGTTGTGACTTTGTTGATGTTTGTTTGTTTGTTTGTTTGCTTGTTTGTTTCTAAAAAGAAAAAGGAATATCGGCATAGAACGGGGTGAAAGTTACGTTGTAAATTGGTTTGTTTGTGTGTCTTGTGTGTTTTAGGGATTCGAGAGGTCGAAAACCTTTAATTCCAATAGCCGACACACATCCTTCGCAATTGTCGGTTAATTGTCAAGTGCAACCTTACCAAGTGCAGAAAGCATTGGTAGAGGATAAATTGGTGCCGTGCATCAATTTCAAACCTTACATTTACTCCGAGCTACTGATGACATTGCCCGATTTTGTGGCGCAGTTTTTCCCTTCATGCGACATCGAAAGTTGCCGGCAAGTCTTGAGCGATGTACTCATGGTTGAGCTTTACCAAGGCAACAGGTATGTGAATATTGATCTTATGAAAAGGGTTTGTAGGTATTATTTTATACTGAATTATTTATGGAATAGTGAATAATAATATTCGCACTCGGATTCAGCATAGGAAATATCTCGAAAAATCGTCATAAATGCATGGATTATATTGTTAATGATTACAACGTTCGTTAACCATTAATTTGTAAATGAATAACATTAGCTTCTGAATAATCGATCACAACGAATTAGGTTCAGAGTGAGTTGAGCAGCATCAGGGGTATTCTAATCGCGTTGACCTTTTCGAGATTTAATAGAAATAAAATGAATAAATCATTGATTTAGTTTCAATATCTCTGTCTTCTGTATTCTCGTAGACTACAAATGGAGATGCTGATGAAAAATGGGAAATGCACTTCGTTAAACGAGGAGTTACCGTTGATCCAGGTACGCCAGATAATGCAGTACATGCCGCAATTGAAATACATGCTAAAGAATCGAAACATGGGTATACCTGCTCAACCGCAGCCAGCTCACTCGAACGAGGAGCACTCGGCGAAGAAACGACAGCGCACCAGCTAGGACTGGCTACAGCCATACTGGCCAACCTACGATTACTATCACTCCGCCTTCTAAATTTTTTTTTTCGGAAGGTGCAAACTTAACGCACGTTAAACGATTTTTTGCCCTTAAAAATAGGGAAAAAAGTAACCGCTGCAAGCGGCGTTGCAAGGGTTCGAAAGAAAACATGACCTACAAGAGAGAAGGGGAGAGAGTAGATACACACACGGCGTTACTTTTCTCTCTTTTACGATGGTTTGGAATCCCACTATGACGAGAGTGTAAATAAACGATTGACAGACAAAAAATACGAATGATGCAGAGGTCAGGCGGTTGATTGTTTAAATCATATCTAGTTTGGAAGGTATTTTCTGAATATTCGGCTAAACTTTTTGCGCTTATTTTTTTCTTTGATGAAAACTGACTGATGGTGATCAATCTATTTCATTAGTTTTAAATCGAGTTTATCATGCCTCGATAGATAGATTTAAAATATCAACGGCCAAAACCTCATCAAGTTCCTAGTTATTACATATGTAATCTGATAGAAGAAGATGCCACACTGGCATACATCTAACGCTGATTCGCCTTTGTGCGAAAATGCGACATTATTTATACACGTAGATTTACCGCAACGGTTTCTTCAACATAATAATAATGCTGCTGGTACTCAAGCATCTTTTTTCAAGTCAGCGTTGCGCTGTATTTTTCTTTTTTTTTTGTTTCGGTCATTTAAAAGATATTAATAAATAAAGTCACATGTTATTTATAAATTATGATTTTTAATTTTTTATTTATTTTACTTCAATGAAACATCAATTTTGTTACACGATATAGTTTGGATTTGATTGCCTATTGAAGTCGGATTTAACTAATCATATCCCAAAGTGTCAATTTATTTAATTAAGCTGTTACATTTCCTCTTAAAGCTGTTATAATAGTATCATGATTAATAGATGAAAACGTAGTCTTCCTCAAAAAGCTATGCAGTATTTATTAAATAAACCCACCTCGGATGAAAAAAAAAATTTTTATTGAAGAAACCGTATTAAAAGTTTTCCGTGCAGCACTACCCTAGATAATACAGGAAAAATAAATAGAAAGAGAGATCACGAGAGTTCGCTTGACAAGGAAGAGAAGCTATACCTATATGAGTGACTTGTCACACGCAAGAAAAAAAAAAAGAAACTATAGACTTTTGCAAACAATGATTAGATGATTGAGACAACGGCATGTATAATGCCTATTAAACGTCTACTGACAGTTTCTGAGGTTCGCTAAAGAAATTGTAAAAAGCTCTAAATATGTATATTTCGAGACGTATACATGTACATATAAATATAAACGCTACGGTATTAAATTCACGCGCACGGATTATTCTCGCGCCTGAATTCTATATCTGTCAAATATAAGGAAGCAGAATAAAATAATAAATTTGCTTAGTAAAAGAAATACGACTATCCTGTTACGGCAAAAATGGTATATTTTATTATTTATATAAATTGTATCTAATCGAGCGCGTGACTTGAAAGATTCTATTTGCCATTTTGGAATGAAAGACTAGAAATACAAGAAGATAAAAAAAGAGAACGAATAACGGACTGGCTTCGTTGGACGATCTTCCGCGTCGTCGATTTAAACTTCGCCCCCCCCCCCTGCCCCTCCCAATCTGTTATATACCGCGTTAGTGTGACTCTGAACATTTGTTTAATAACCTAGCAACCGATATATATGTGATGGATTTCACAATAAGCAGGATACAATACATTTCTTTTACACTACTTTGTTTTTCGCGAGCACGCGTGTTGCAAACAGGAAAAAAACAAAGTTTATATACAGTACTAGAAGAGAATTATAATTTATTGTTTCAATGCTATAGCTTTATTTAAATTTCAAGACAATGTTTTTAATATATAATTATTGCACTTTACTGTAAGTGTGAGGTAAAAAGATTTCAACTTCATTGACGTGTGATTTCAGTTATGTATAAATAAACAATGAACAAAATAATTGAACGGCGAAGAAAGACAACTAAGACTGTTATAAATCAATTATGTAAATTCTGCTACAAACCGTATAGAAATTTGTGGTATTTCTATAATCATTTTATATTTGATTTTTCCTTTTTTTCTCCCCATTCTAATCGATCAATTACGTACCACTTACTTTTAATTTACAATTGCCTTTGAAGAAAAAATCGCATTTCGGCTTTCTATTCATTACATCGCCGTTGCAAACTAAAAGTATGGAAAATTCAGTGAGTGACAAAATATGGTGTGATTAAGAAAAAAAAAAAAGTCGTAGAAACCTAAAGGTATTTTGTATATCACTGAATCTCGAGAGAAAAGAACTGCGAGACCTTCAAGTCCAAAATTTAGAATTTATCTGTAATTTTTAAGGAAGCCGTTAGTTTAGAGCATTTATTTGTTAAAAGAAAAGAAACTTGTTAGAAACAATACATGTACTATAATTTATCACTTCATCGTCTGTAAATATAAACTCATAAAAAGTAAACTAGAAATAATAGATATTTCAAATAAAATCGTGATAAAGAAATATTCCTTCTGTATTTTTATCTTTATTTTTGCTGTTAACACAGATTTCTATGTAATTATATATTTTTTTTGTGTTACGATGTATGCCGATGGGACTTTCATGATTTAGTTTACTGATCTTTTCAGATATATGTCTATGCTTTTCACGTATACACTCTGCGTTAATTGCTTTTGATCTTCCGCCGTTTCTTAAGTGCATTGATAATCAATAATATCATAGAATTGTAAATTAATTTGTTAATAACGACATTCTCGTTGTTAAACAAATTTGGGTTGACTACCTGTCCCTTTCTTACATTATCTTCAAAACCTAGTGCAAAATATGTCTATATACATTCTTTTGGCAATCTTGTTAGACATGTAATTAAAAATTGCTCGAGCTGACATCACGTGGTTTGTGCATAATGCAGATAGAAATACAAATTTCAAAGTACCGAAACTTTTCACGAACAAGTGTCAAAAGTTACCAACATAATCTGACCAGACCATCGATGACTCACATTTCTCAAAAAACTAAATTTTCGAAACCTGTCAAAGATCAGCAATTCAAACTATCTAAAATTTGTCCAATTGCGCGGCAGTCTAAACATTGACGAAATTACTATTCGAGCGAGGCAAATATCTCGAAATAATGGTTAGTTTGCTGAAGCCACCCTTAGCTGCAATTGATTCAATTGGATAAAAGGTCTATAACATTATTAAACGAAAAGAAATACGGTTATTCTAGTTTTTTTTGGAAATAATTCAATAGATATTAAATTGCAAATATCCCTGGCATCATCCGTCTGCTGGCAAAGTTCATCTGTACGATAGTTCGCAAATTAAATCTTGCCGCGGTATACAGTCGGTACAGCAGGAGAAGGGGGAAATATAACAAAATTATAACTAAAACATGCAAGAGCAAGGAAGGCAGCGAACATCATCGTTCGCTTCGTTTTCTTGATATGTATGACTGCCTTATTTTCGTCACTCGTAATTCTTGCGTATAGTTCAGAGACAATTATGTCGATCGTAGCCATACCAAACATATAATAGAGCGCCATCTGTCCGTGAAAGCCGGTATTTTAGTTACCGAGAACTGTAGTTATTAGCAGATCTCGTAGGTATGTATCTCATGTGCAGCAGTGTGGTGCAGTAAAACACACACAGTGAGCAGATTCCCCCCGGTGGCCTGCTGCTGCTGCTTTGTTCCTTTCCTCTCGTTTCGTTTTCGGCGTCTGCATTATAACCTTCGGACGCAGAACGAAAGTGTTGTTTTTTTTTCGGTCGGCATCAAACGAAAGGGCGCAAAAGAGTGTGTGCGACGATTGACGAGCGAGCCATTGCGTGTGGGAGCAGCAACACACACATACTCACAAAAACACGGAGAGCGCCGTCGCCATTTTCCTCTCTGGGCAGCCTGTTTTTCCCCGTGCTTCTTTCTCTTTTTCGCTGTCTACAATGCAGTGCCCGTGAATAAAGTGCGTCGACAGTTACAATTGTTGAGGGCGTGTGGTGGATGTAACAAACGGCTTCCACGAAGCTGAGCTTCTACTGTAGATAACACGAGACTGAGACCAAGGATCTCAATTAAGCTGATCATCACGGCAGTGCCTACGGGCAGCTGAGGCCGGCGGCTCTGGCCCAGCCCCCTCAAAAAGTTACAAATCCATTGTTGAAAGACCGAGGAGTAAGAGAGAGAACAAGATATGGCTTGTTTGAATACCCTTAAACAGGAGATCAGGACTCTCGAGTCCGTGTTCCCCAAGAGTCATGAACGCTTCCAGATAATGTCGGCCAGCGTTGACGAACTCAGCTGTCGATTCGTCGGCAAGAATGGCAAGAAGTATGAGATTCACGCTAATATCACCGTGAGTATCATTTTCTCCTTTTTGTGTCGTACGTGTGCGTGTGCGTATATATGCTGTGCATGTTGTGTGAACTCGTGTGCGTATGCCGTGCGTGTTTGTATTCGAATGTGCAAGAGAAAGACAGGCGAAGGAAGGGTCTTTGTTCGTTTCGCACGCGGATTTTTCGGCGATAGCAACCTGCATGGGAATCGATGGGCGTCTGTGCGCGCGCGCGCCTGCTGAGGTCAATGCATGCGACGAGGGTAAGGCCCGAGAGAACGCAAGAGGGCTCAAGCGAGTGCGAGCACATATTGGATTTACGGAGCTTTCGAGTTTGTTACGACGAGAGTGAGTTTATTGATCATGGGGTTACACATTCACAAGGCTTGTGAGAGAGAGAGAGAGAGAGAAAGAGAGAAGAGAGAGAGAGAAGAGAGAGAGAGAAGAGAGGAGAAGAGAGAGAGAGAGAGAGAGAGAGAGAGAGAGAGAGAGAGAGAGAGAGAGAGAGAGAGAGAGAGAGAGAGAGAGAGAGGCTTGTTGATTAATGTTGGTTAACGGTGTGCGCTTGCTGAAGCGATAAAGCTTTCGGAATATGTTAATTGCTTACTCAGGCTATTATTAATTTTGGATACTTGCTGCCGTACTGTATGTTGCAATATTTGCATACACAAAACTAGATGATTGATATAGATTATCGCTATTCTGGCAAGTTGCTAAATTTTCATGAGGATACGCATTCATCTGCCAGTAGTTTTTTTAAGCGCAATATATCGTATTAAATATGTACGATTATACTGCGTCCTCGCTCTCCTACATTACATTTGCAAATATTATCGGCCACTAGGTTTAATCTCACACGTTCAAGTCCCATAAAGAGAAAGCGCCCTCTATTAGTTCGCGCCCGACTTCAATCTTCAGTTTTTTTCGTGTGTGCAAGGCGTCAACACGTCCTTTTATCAAGTCGAAAACTAGTTAATTAAGAGTTATTAAATTAACTTTAGTGCAAGATGGAAAGAGAAAGCATAAGAGTGATGAAGAGAGGTTGGAGAAGTACGCAAAAAAGATGAAAAGGATCAAAGAGAAAATAGAATTTTGAATAATTGAGGAATAGTTCTCAATTCTCAGAATCCTGCGAAGATAGATTATAATAAAGAAAATGATGCTTATATTAATTTGTTGTACAGAAAATATTTATAAGGACGTTTGATTTCTGTTAAATCAGTGATTACCTTAACAAATTAGAGCATTGAAGATGAATGTAAGAGTATTTATTAAATTGCTGGCAGTTTCATATATAGAGAAGGGAATCTTAAGGAGATAAGGAGTTATAGGAATAATACAATGAAAAGTACAACTGCTCAAATAAGTTGACTGCATCCAAACTTAATGAAATAATTAGTGTAATGAAAGAGGTTGTGGTTAGGAGGGATAAATATATGATTGAGATACAAAGTATTGTTGGTATAAGATAATTTCTATAGTAGGTTTTTTAATGACCTTATTGTATGAAGGTGCTGAAGAAATTGATCTTGATATTGTTTTGGAATGTTTGACCATTTAACAAAAAAGCTGGTTTAGAAAGATACAAAAATTGATGAATTTTTATATTGTAACTAATTAACTGAATTAGCTGAAATGAAAACTCAACCAGCTAATAAAATTTACAGCATAAATCCAAAACAAGGAAAGCAATTTTTAAACTCAAGGTTCTTATTCATATGCCTAGCTTTTACAGGATTTGTATCTACAGGAAGATTACAGAAACAATAGCTTTTTTTCAGAAACAAACAGCAGTTTATGAATCAGAATACTCAGACAATTCAATACCCACCAGTTTAATAAAAAGAGGAAAAGAATAATTAGATAGTATAAGTCAAATAGCTGGTAGTTTAACAAAAAATTTCATTTGTGTATGGAAAAAGATTACTGATGAAAAATTTGTCTTAAATTGTTTATAAGGTTATAAAAGTCCACTATCTAAGCAAACAAAACAGTTTACTTGAGTTCAAAAGTAGGAACCTTTTTAAAATGTTATTCAAATTAAAAACTGTCAGTTAGCCATAGATATATTTTTGAAAAAAAGAGCAATAGTTAAATGTATTGAAACAAAAGGTCAATGGATATCTCCGTATTTTTTAGTTGAGAAACTAGATGGCTCTCATAGATTCATTTTTAATTAAAAACAATTTAATAAAATTGTATTAAAAGAACACTTCTGGAAAAAAACCAATTAAAGTTTTCATTGTTTAAAGATTTGATTGTTGGAGAGCCTATTGTACTTATACCTGATTCAAAATTATTATCATATTGTAGGTCAAAATTATATCTAAGATTTGATATCCTGTAAAGTATCAGATAATCCTTTTTAAATAGAAATATTCTTAAAAAGGCATCAGAATTAATATTAACATCTTTAAGTAAAAACACATTAAAGCAATATGCAGGTCCTGTAATGTATTGGAAAATCTTCTGAGAGAAGAATAATTTAGATATAAGTAATGCAGAACTAAATGAATTAATTAATTTTTTAACTTGGTGCTTTGACGTGAGTGCCTCATATGGTACATTGAATTTGTGTTGAAATGCTATTTCTAAAATGAAATTGGTAGTCATGTTGATGATAGATTTAAGAAAGGTGTTTGAAAATCTAGACCTTAAGAACCTAAATATAATAGCACATGGGATGTTGCGATAGTATTGAAATATGAAGAAAAAATTGAACATTGCAGAATTAAAAAATTTTGTAATTAAAACAGTAACTCTTCTAGCCTCATGTTCTGCTCAGAGAACACAAACCTTAGTAAAGTTGACTCAGCTCAAAGTCTCTAATAGACTTGAAATTAACATTTCAGATTTACTAAAAACTTTGGGTTCAGGTCGTTATCAACCAGTCCTACAATTAGCTTGGGTTGAAGATAATCCAAGACTTTGTGTTGTTTCATTTGTACTGTATTGTATAAGGCATCATCAATAAAAAATGATATTGACGAATTGTTTTTATCAAACCAATTTTCAAACCAAAAATTCAACTCATTCACGCTATTAGTTCTACTACGATTAGTGAATGGGGTTGGGTTAAAAAATGCTTAAAATAGAGTGGAATCAATGTATTAATATATTCACTGCTCACTGTACGCGATATTCTACTTCTTCAGTTGCAGAAAATAATGTTGATATAAGACTAGAAGAAGAATGGTGGACTGGACCGTAAAACTGATCCCGCTATTTTATGTTTTTGAAATATATTTCGGAAGACCGATACTAAAAGATGATTTTGAATTCACAAAAGTCATATTAGAAAATAGTTTGCAGTAAAATTTGTATAATTAATTGAGTCTTTATCATTTTACCAATGGACTCTAAAAAACGACATATATAGTGTGGGAGAGCGACGACGCAGTATGGTTATACGATCAAACGAACTTACCTCAATCGAAATTATATGAATACATTACATTCCATTCGTATACCAATAAATAATTATGTAATCCTACCCTATATATCATTGGAAAAATGAAATTCGAGTACTTACCCCTGTTTACTCTAAAAAAAGTCCGGCGCGAACTAATAGAGGGAGCTTTCTCTTTATTGGGTCTTAAACGTGAGATTCAGCCTAGCGGCCAATAATACTATTTTTTATAATGTATTCGAGCGAGGACTTCATATAATTTCAGTTGAACATTACCGACAGGATAATTTGTTTAATTGTATAAATATGTTGATCAATTATAATGGCAGTCAACTGAATCAAAATGAAACTCGAAAGCAATCAAATTAATTATTATGCTTCCACTACATTCAATTAGCAATTCATAGTACTCAAATATTTATGATAATCATACAAACAGATCATTTAAAAAATTTTCTGTTGAAAAGAATCATTCATTAATAGTTGAATGTTCCTTCTACTAATCATTTAAATCATTCCCTATATTTTATTTACAGGAAACGTATCCCTCTACACCTCCTGTATGGTTTGCAGAGTCTGAGGAGACAAGTGTCACAAATGCTGTACAAATATTGAGCAATACCACTGGCCTTGACAATCATGTCATAAACCAAGTGGGAATCCTCCTGAAAGAACTATGCCGCCTGCATTCCTTACCAGAGCCACCAGATGTAGAACGCCTCAGAGCATCATTTGATCCTTTAAGATTAGGTGCAGCAACGGATTCTACGCCTCAGCGGATGGAGGCAGATGACGTAGAAGATCTGGAGGATGATGAGGAAAGTGAGGCTGAGGAGGATCTACATCTAGACATGGATGAAGGAGAAACTAATAATAAGAATAAGGTATGTCTTAATATATAAATTTCTTTACTAATAGGATAGTGATTAAATCTTTTTATTGTGCAAGTGTAATAATAATGGATGGTTTTTATATAGGGAGAAGAGATGGCACTAGAGCACCTTGCAACGCTGGAAAGGTTGAGACAAAACCAGAGACAAGATTATCTGAAAGGCTCTGTATCTGGTAGTGTACAAGCTACAGATAGACTTATGAAGGAACTGCGCGACATTTATCGTAGCGACAGTTTCAAAAAAGGCAAGTGAATTTTTTATGAGATGTAAAAAGATTAATATTTATATAAATGATTTTTACAATTTCAGGAATGTATAGCATAGAACTCGTTAATGATAGTCTGTATGAATGGAATATTAGATTGAAATGTGTAGATCCAGATTCTCCCCTTCATAATGATTTAGTATTGTTAAAAGAGAAAGAGGGCAAAGATAGTATACTACTAAACATGCTTTTTAAGGTACACTTTACCTCTTACTGAAAGTTAAATTGAATATTTTTAGATGCAGTAAACGATGATTAACGCACGACAATATTGTTTGCAGGAATCATATCCCTTCGAGCCGCCTTTTGTGAGAGTGGTCTATCCGATGATATCAGGCGGTTATGTCTTGATAGGGGGAGCCATATGTATGGAGCTGCTAACGAAACAGGGCTGGAGCTCGGCCTACACGGTTGAAGCGGTTATAATGCAGATATCGGCCACTCTCGTAAAAGGCAAGGCGCGTATACAATTCCAGCCAACTGGCGGTGGTGGCAAGGTTTGCAGTGGACAAGGACAGTATAGTCTCGCACGTGCCCAACAATCTTTCAAATCCCTCGTCCAAATACACGAGAAAAATGGTAATGAAGATAACAATAACGTAATGGAATTGTCTTGTGTACTTGTTAATTGTGAATTTATGTGGATTATATTACAGGTTGGTTTACACCGCCGAAAGAGGACGGTTAATTCGGATTATTGTGCAACGGGGTGACAATATTGATGCGCGCTTATATATGAGACTTTTATCGGTGACTCTGTGCCGAGCAAACAATAGTTACGAATATAAATGATTTGATACACAAAACTCAACATTTACATAGGTAACTTTACATGCTTAAGAATAACTAAATTAATCATGTATTCGACCGCGAGAAGTTTTTGTCGCGCAAAGTAAACTCAAATTGATGTGTTTAATTTTTTTCATGTCTACATTTAGTTATTATTTTTCGATATACATTTTTATTGCGCCACCATGCAACAGCAATTTATCTTTTTACTTTGTCATCTGTCAAGTGGGATTAGTTTTACGTTCGTAGTAATTCGATCGATTGTTTCTCTCTCTCTCTCTCTCTCTCTCTCTCTCTCTCTCTCTCTCTCTCTCTCTCTCTCTCTCTCTCTCTCTCTCTCTCTCTCTCTCTCTCTCTCTCTCTCTCTCTCTCTCTCTCTCTCTCTCTCTCTCTCTCTCTCTCTCTCTCTCTCTCTCTCTCTCTCACTCTCTCTCGCTGTTTTAGTTTCTGAGTATAAAAACGTAAGCGTTATTGTTTGAAAATAACTTAGTATTCGTAAAATCTTAACTAAATGAATACACATAAAAGGTATAAAAAAATGATATACAATCGAGTGTATGCAAATGTGCTTCCTTTTTCACAGAAAAAATGTAGAATTTCAAAAATAGTTAAGTAACTTTTTATTATTATTTTTCATTTAAATTTGCGGAATGAATCAGCACCATATTTTATGGAGAAATGAGATTAAACAGTGTTATTAGCTTTTATAACAGATAAAGTGCGTTGAATAAAATGGAGTTGACGTACATTCTGTTGCATTCTGGCTCTTATTTTCACGTATTAGGGGTATGACTGATTTATTGCTTACATGTATGGAAGTATTGCATAAGTGATGGTATTATTCATCGTGTGTATAGATCCAGTATATATGATAAATGTATACCTATAACTTTTTGATATAAATGGAACTAGTTATATTTGATTAGATACACATATAAGTTAAATTCCAGGTGCCTTTTTAAGTTGTACAGAATACAGTTTTTTTTCTAATTTATGTTCAGTTTGTAAACAAATATTACTGGAAAAAAGTCTGATTTGTGAGTTTTATTAATATGGGTAGAAAATGATTATCCATTGTTCTGAAAAGATGAAAAGAATAGTGTTTTTACATTTTTAGGTAAAGGTTTCATGCATTCATTTGAAAAACGTGATAAATATTTTTATAATCGATAGTATGATTGGATTTAGTAGCATAAGCAAATTGTAAAATACATTTTTGCACAATTTTTCTAATAAGGCAAAATTGTAACATACTTTTCAAGAGTTACAGGACTGTTATGAGCGACTATTTTTACTTCAAATAGCTCGAGAGCGTTCAATCGTAAATAGTGACTATAATAGTTGCTAAAGATATAAACACTGTTTACATAAGAATTTTTGAAAGCTTCACCTTGAATCTTGATCTCTAATGCCTATAATGAACTTGTAACTTTTGAATAACTTTTAATCATCATATATGAACAATTTCTAAACGTCAAGTGTACAGCTTAGTGCAATATTATTAGAGCTTAACGTACGAAATCGTCAAATAAGAAGGCCAATTTATATTACATGTAGATAAATATTCAATTATGTCAAATTATTTTTAAAGATACCCTGTAAAGCAGTTCTCAAATTATTTGGTTTTATTTTCGCCTAAATGGGCATATTTTACTGTGCATAATTACTGCTAAAAGTTTTCGTCGAATTCTAATGTCAATATAGGGTGCAGTCAATATGACATGAAAAAATATAGTACACGTGAATAGAGCCATTATGCATCATTTATCTTGAAAGCGACAGATATATGTCATAACTCAAGCGGTCGGTTTATGGCAAAGTTTTTTTGCATATTGAGTAACTCCATAGAATAAGACATTTTATACAATTTAAACAATTGTATTAATAATTTAAAATTGTTCTTCATGAAAGTTCTGTATTATTGAAACCAAAATGTTTTTGCTACGTATTGAGTTGTTTTCGATTGTATTTTTAAGAAAAAAGTCATGCATAAAGCATTAAATTTCATTCATATTGTTCTTACATTGTTCGAAATTATGTCATGAATATTCATTAGTGAAACGCGAATCGTGTAAATTTTTCTGAGACGAAGTAAAAAGCATATCGAATCTCACAAATTTAGTAAATTATTAACACGATACAGGCGTTATTTTTTGTATGAAAATTGTGTCAGTGAATTGTAAATTGATAAATAGAAACTAAAGGAAAAAAAATACGAAAAAAAAGATTTCACCTTAGACTGTAGGACAAGGGTGGACAAAAAAGCTTGAATATACGTTATAGATCGCGACCTAATATCCTGCGAAAAAAATAAAAAAAAACAAAAGAGAAGAAAAAGATGTCATAGAAATTACTTAGTGTCGGTCAATGATTCATATTGTTCATGGTCAATGAAACCAATAGTTGGCTATAAAAAGACTCATCATGCATGTAAATGGAAAGCACATTTGTTGTAAAATATAAAAAAAAACAATTGTGATTGGTATTTGCATCATTTGCGAAACAATGAAAAGATGAAGACGTGATACGAGGTGAAAAATTTGTTACGATTTCAAGGATTACAATAAAAAATTGTTAAGCCCATCGAAAAAGTAAAATTGACAATGTTTCGGCAATCAGACGTAAATTTATCGCCACTCTTGTCAGCCGTCCTCTTCTTTATAAAGACAAGTTTTCGTCTGAAGAATAATCTCAATTTCAGCTCGAATCTTCGTAAAAAAAAGAATACGCACGCGCGAAGACTGAAAACGAATCAAGCGCCAGACTCTTCCTTTCTATCCTTCGATTTCTATCTCTTTTTCTTTCCTTTGCTTTCTAAACTGTTGGCGGGAGGGAAAAAGCCGAAACTCGTAGTGTATTTGGCGTAAGTGATATAAAAAAAAAAGAAAACCGCAGAGTGCAATAAAAAGAACACTTTTCTTTTGCGTTAAAACCGCACAAACATACCGAAACATGCACCGCTGATATCGCGAAGCGCCTTTTTTTGTAGTTCGAGGAGTTCGTACTGGCATACGAGACAAAGAAAACAAAACTTTTCCCTCTCATCGAGGTATTCTCCTCCCGGTGATGCGACCGAACTGATATATATTGTATAAATTTTGATTAATTTGTCGTTTTTTTTGGGGGTGAGAAGCACGAACCTCGTTGATGAAAGAGAACTTATTAGTGGCCGTTGTCCACTCTCTCTCCCTTTTGTACGTAGTTTTCTAACTGTTGAGTATCCGAAAAATCGACCGACAGAGTCACACACCATGCTGTACATAACACATCAAATACCAGGTAGCCAACTCTTTTTATTTCTTATTATTTTCTTTCGTTTTTTTATATATATTTTCGGCACGGTTTTTCGGATACGCGCGCGTGACATGCGTCTCGTGTACATTGTTTCACCTGTGTCTATATACACGCAGAGCAGCACCTCTCTCCTTCCCCACCCTCGTTTTACTTTTGTAAAATACTTGTATGCGTGTGCATCGAGGAGCGCCTCGCTCGTTCAGAGTTACTATAAATGCGCTGCGGAAATATATATATTATGTGGATATCGAGCGTTTTGTCATCACTCATTATGTGTCGTGGTCGACGTTTCATTGTAGCTCGGTTCATTTATTATATACCTTTTACCATCGTCATTTAGTTTTGCGTTTCATTATGTTAACTATTATTTAGGAGATACCTGTGAAAGGCAACAATAAAGAATTTTAATAAAAAAATTAATCATATTTATTATTTACTTTTTTTTTGGGTGCCTTCTTATTTTTATAAAGATGAACGCTATAAGCTATTCTCACTTGGTTTTCAAAGCTCAGGTTTTATGGGCAATGGTGTACTGAACGCATTATCAGATCATTTTAAAAAAAGTTCAATTTCGTTCATTAAAATATATGTACATTACCGTTCACACGAAATTTCAACTTAAAATACTACGCATTAAAACATCTATTTAATTAATTCGATTGAAAATTGTTTGAAATGCGATTGAAGCATATCACAAGTGATCATTTTTATATGGGTAAATGTGGAAAACTGCTACAAGTTATGACAATGAATTTATTTTTAAAATAAAATTTGTTCTCTAGAAAAATTTTTTGTATCCAGGATTTGATTCCTACCAAAAATATTTTCTACTGAAATGCATGAATATTTTAGAAGTTGAATGTTGAAAAACGAGTATTTTACATTTTTTACTTTAATTAAAAATTTATTTAAGAATTACAATAATATAGATGTTTGTATTAAAACAAAAAATTTGAATTACGTATCTTAAGAGGGTAACTTTATTTTGATTTTTCGATTTGGCGGCATATCTAAACAAATTATGAAAACTCGTTCAAGGTTATGTTTAACGACCGTTGTAGGATTAAAAAATTGCCAAACTTTGTAAATTTATTTTATCATTTGACTTCTTAAAAAATTGCAAATATTAGCATATATTTACGTACGAGATAAAATAATTTTTATTGATGTTTCAAGTGAATGCTGTTTTTTTAGATATTTCATGGACTATTATTAACGAAAATCGACCATTTAATTAAATAAGACTCTTGTTAATTGATTTTTTTCAAATGAAATGCTTAATTGTTTAAGTCTTTGTTGTTTCCACATATTTTCAACAAATGTGTTTATAAAAAGTGGTTAGCAACAAAAATTTTTAAATATGCATAGATATTTCCTAGTTTCGGCATTGAACACTTTTGGCGAAAAATGACAGATGAGGGCGCCTGTTTTCAACGCGACTTCCGACTAAAGCCTCCAAATGGACGATCTGTAGTCAATTTGCATATGCGATGTCGCTCGCTTACGCTTTGGAATTTTACTAAATATTGTATATTTTCAAGATCTTCGCTAATGGCATGATTGTGAATTATATAGACAGTTCAGTGAATGTCGTTGAAATAATACTAAAAATCAAATGGTAAATAAAATAGCGCGTTATGGATGTGTGATTTCCTCGTCGTTTATATATGTGCAAATATGACGTAAAACACTCGACTTGAAAAAACCCGAAAACACTTCGTGAAGGTTTCAAGAGAAAACAGGTACTAATTGTAGGAAGATTTTAGATATAGACACTGACGATCGGATGAGGTCACCGAGGTGAATAAACCAATTGTATATTTGAAATTTAACCCAGATTGGTCAGGATATAAGAGCAATAATAAAACGAATATCCACTATGTTATCCTTATTAGTGCAGTGATAAATAATTTATTCACCGTGGTACCTTTGCCTCTGCCTTAAAAAGCCCCTCAACCAAAATTACATGGCCGCGGATATTTTGAAGATGAACAGCGTCGCCTTTGCAAGTCGATAAAATTACAATAGCCTATCGCACAATCGAACCAGATTTAATTTAACTTCAATTGTGCGAATACGTCGAGCTTACGTAGTACCAATGAAAAAAAAATAGCTATCTGGGCGCACACCGACGCTCAACTACAAACGTACTGCAATCCCCGACTACCTGAATGCGCGCCGGCCTGTCTAGTGGCAGCGTGCTGACCCACGCTGCGCTGCACTCCATGATGCACGGTCAGTCGACAACACAGGTACACGGGTGGCACGAGAAAACTTTTCCACAATATTTTGGACTCGACGCACCGTTCTTGCACTCGCGCGAGGCACATTATGAAGGCCATTCTTTTTTTTTCACGAAAACACGGCGTGAAATAGACGCGCACCTGTGACAGCCCTGAATATCGCAGACGAGCCTAGAACGCACGGGGTTCAAGGAAAACTGTCAGACTACTGTAAATAATTGAACGCGAATCAGCACGCACTATTACTGTCGGCCATGCGGCGCACAAACGATCTCCTCTAAGACTGACGCGGAAGTCCGCAAGGACGCTCTCTCAAATTTTAGGGTCAGCCCATTTTTTGCACTTTCTCCACATTTTCCGTACCCCATTGGTAGTTCTTAGGACATTTCCCTCTCTCTTATGCTCGTGCGATCATGGAAACCCTAATTTTCACCTTGGCAGATACACAAACACGATCTCATCGCTACGAAAGAAAATGCTCTTCTGACGATCTTCCGGGGTAATTAACTTGACTACTAGAAAATTGATAGTTTAGGAAAGTAGCTAACACTGTTTGTGACCTTTGTGTTTTTATATTTTTTTCAAATTGGATGCACGATTGGTCAACATTTTGACAATAATTACTCGATATATCATTTCCCATTTTTCGGTCTATACTGTAACGTTCAAAATTTTCTTATTACGGCTGATTTCTGGCACATTATAGATTATGACGATCAGCTTATCTGAGGTAGGTTTCGGATGTTCTTGAAACTTGGTCTGAATGTTCCCTATATGGTAGTTTCCTTCAGTATGCTTCGCCGCGCGTCGGCGCTGGGTCGGCAAGCTACCAAACTTACCGACTTATCGGCGTCGTAGGGCCTGTGAGCGTTCACTATTATTGCTTACTGCGTCGCATCTAATGGTCGCTCGATGAATTTAAAAATGGATTCTTAAAGAAAAACAGTCAAGAAATTCAATAAAAAAATAATTTTTGTGAAATAAAAATAACACTTTTTGAGATAGGGCCAATTGTTTTAAAAAAATGTTAATAACTTTTGGAAAAATTGATATTGAAGTATTGTTCGCTTTAAGTATTGATAACTTAAATGATTTCGGAGATATAAATTTTTGAAAATTTTTTCTCAAAAATTTGCAATTGTTTATATCTTTTGATATAATTATTATAATGATCTAATAATTCATACTAAAGGAAACTACCATATAGGGAACATTCAGACCAAGTTTCAAGAACATCCGAAACCTACCTCAGATAAGCTGATCGTCATAATCTAGAATGTGCCTACTTTTTGAGTGAGTTTTCCAGAACAATCTCTGTTGATAAATGAAAGCGAGAAATGTGAACTATTAAGACAATTCCAGGCTTACCGATTACAAAGTTACAAACGAAATAAGATTTTCAGTTTGGATTTGGTCTTCTTTCAGAAAAAACGATCCGTTTGTTATAACTCAATGGTTTTCTGCTAGATGTAACATATTATTTTTGTATTTTCAATCAACAATTTGAAGTTAATCGTCTCCGGCAAATTTTTAACTTACAAACGTTTATTTCTTTCTTATTACGCAGATTGCTCTTCGTTAACAATTTGATAACATCATTTTTTTTTCGAATGAATTTAATGCAAAATTAGAGATTTAAAAGTGATAAATGAGAAGTTGGCAACAAATAAAATTAAGAACTATAATTTTTAGATGGTTAAACTTTACTAAAAGTTTAAAAACAAATAAAATGTAAAAACATATTTCTCAAAGAAACAGTTAAGTTATTATCCATTCTATTCGATTATGTATAATACTCGTTATACGATACGTACTAAAATTAATATAAAATCTACTAAATATCTATGAACTAATTAATAATGATCACTCTGCATGAGATTATAGCATAATAAAATATTACAATTTAACTTTTACTTTCATCATCTGTTGAAAAGCCTATGGTCCTTCTGTATTAATTCCTGCTTGTTTACTGCCGACTTTTCTTTCACGGATTTGACGGAAGAATCAAGTAATGCGTCTTCCAACGTATCTGGATTTGCTTTAGGCTTTTCGACGATGACTTGCGTTTTATCGGCAGTAGAAGTTCGATTGGATTTCCATATCATTACGGCAGGTACCATCGATACTTTAATGCAAAATCACACTTATTTTAGCGATATTTCTATCGATAAATTATTGATGAATAGATTAAAGATCCTTCATATTTACCCAAAAGCCAGGCCAGGAAAAACACGTCAAGCCCGAGGTAGCCCAACTTATCAACGATTTTTCCACAGATGATAGACACAACTGCTATGCTCAGATTAATGATGGATTGATTGCTAAAAATGATTTTTCGTAAGCAAATTCAAACTATCGGTGGACAATTCATTATAATAATAAAAAGATGGACACACATTCCATAAGCCATTCCTAGTTGATGTTCTGGCATCACATGGGCAATCATTGGCCAAACGCTCGTTCCAAATAGTGAATTAAAAACGCCCAACGAGATCATGCAGGTATGTGGATTGAATTTGGTAAAGGCAAGTACTATATGAGACAGTAACGAACCTATGATGCCTACCATAACCCATAGTATGTTTCTTCCACAATTGTCAATCATAAGACCGATAAAAGGAGAGCAAATAGCCGAAGTTGTATAAACTAGTGATACCAATTTGTTAGCGTCGTCTGGTTTAAAGTCATGCATCTTTACAAAATACATTCTAAAATGGGAAAATGTAATTATTAAGCGTACTCGTGATGCGTGCAATTCCCATAGAAATAAGAATATATTTACAACTCACTTGGCCAAAGAAATGAATGGATATATAGCAGCAGTGTATGCCGCACAAAGTAAAACGATTAACCAATAAGTTAATTGAAATACTTTGATATCCGCGAATTTGACTGTGTGCGGTTGTTTTTCTTCATCATGTTCTAATATTTTTCCGGCATGACTGTGCATAACAGCCAAAACAATAGCGCAAATCAGAGACACAGCGCAAATGATAGCAGCGAATAACAATACCATTCCGATACATTGAGACGTTGAGCTATTTGAATTTTTCTCCACAAATTTGTAAATACTTCCTATCGATAGAAAGTTTACTATTGAACCCGTTTGACCGAAACTCCACTGTAACCCAAAAATTGCGTTTAATGCTCTGCCCTTGAACCAAAACACGGTATAATTACTTTGAGCTATGTAGACTGCTTCTGATCCAATCCTACAAATACATTAGTGAAACGATGTTTAAAGTAAGACAACAATAACTACATTTTAATACGTACCCAAAAATAAATCTGCCTAAGATCATCAGCCAAAATATATCCATGTATGTTCCCATGGCAAAAATTAGCTGCCCACATAAAGCCACAAACACATAGATAATAGTTCCCCATCTTACACCAAATACACTATCTATAAGAAATCCCCCGAAAAAGCATAGTACAACGTTTGGCCACGAGTAAACCGAGTACAGCATGGAAAATTTGGTTGTTGTCATATTCATTTCCTTTTCGAATTTATCTTGTAGTGCTCCGGGATTGTCATAGCAGAAGTATAATCCTGAAATTGTCCAATTATTCATTTTCGTTAACCCATCATTTTTCTCTAATATCAATTTATAATGAAAAAGGCTACAGTTCCATGATTGATAAAATAATTCATAAATTTAATGACTAACTAGTCATTTGTTAAGATCAACCTACATTTTACATTCTCAGAACATATTATGGGCGGAGGTACTGGAGAAATTGCAGCCTGCATTAGAAAAAATCGCACAGAGCTAAATATATTTATTATAACACCTATCGATGTGCTATTAATAATTAAATTTAATTTGATAATAAAAAATTGGCTATCACTTCTGAATTTGGTTTTGTGAATAAAACTAATATTTTTTCTAGTAAAATCATGCATAAAGTTATTTGTTCCTCCTTATACTCTTTTTAGGCTTTTAGGGCACCTTATACACCGCCATTATTCGCAAAATATATTACACTACAAATAGCAAGAATTGATGGAGAAATAATATCTTTGTCGTTTTGTCTTTCCTTTTTTAAATAAATTCAAGTATACTTGTAATTAAAAAAAATTTTCTTTCTCAACATCTTTAGCTCGTTTCGACAAATGAGACAAATTTAACATAACTTTTCATTGTTTTCTAATTCCTATGGTTCGTTGATTTTAAGTTATTTTTTTCTAATTTCTTATGCAAGAAGATGTTTGATATCATGTAAAATACCCATTGGCGATTATCTGGTTTACTTATTTTTAAATTCAATTTAATCCACTCGCAAATTATATTCGCAAATTAAAAAATAACACAGTACATAGACTGGTTTGCATAATATCAATGTTTTTATGAATTATTGAAACTTAAGTTTCTAGTTTCTTTTCCGGTAACTGAATATGGCTATGGAGAAAATTTGCTTAACTTTTTATAAGACAGAATTTCTGATTACGTTCTAGAGCGAAGTTTATCACGTCGGCGATTACATATACGATGATCGATTAAAATCGTATGGCAATCGTTTATTCCCAAGAACGGCGCCTGCATTTATCAAATGTTTTAATTAAACCTCGATTAAGAGCTAACGATTTTGGTTGTGGATTATTTGAAAAATAATATTCTGAGGAACATTTTCTTGCAGGAAATATTCTAATTCTGATATTCACGAACTGTTATTGACAATTTACAATGACATAAATATGGGCTAGTTTGATGCTACAATCAACGCGTCAATGATGAAAATTATTTGTTCGATAAAAGAAAACACTTAACAGATTATTGTTCTTGATAAAATTTTGACGTCAGACATTTTACATTGAAGATATAGCGGATATTAGTTTTATCGTGAATATGTGCTAAAAGCTGATCAGTAAACTATTGATCTGAAGATTGTGAATCTACTATCATATGATACTAATGAAATCGTAAAAGCAAATGTAAGGCTAAAACACAATGGCGTTTATTTAAATATGAAATAAATTAAATACACTCACCGAATCCAAGGAGGCAAATAATTATAAGACCAAAATATCTAAACAAAAATTTGTTTCGATTGGCGTATCTCTGCCGTATGAGCTCATCTTCTGATATGTTACACACTTTGTATTGACTATCCATATTCACTATTTCTACGCAGGTCTCTGAATAAGGTTCGGATATTCAATGAACAAAGCTTGCGGTCAAAGTCATTAGAGCTCAAGAGAAAACAAAAGTTGTCACCCGTTAATAAATACGAGTCACTATTATGAAGGCTCCGCAAGCAATCAATTATTGAAACGAATTGTACAAAATGTAGCCTAGAGTTGTCCTAATCGGGTTCGGTAGGTTGTTGTGACATATTCGTTGTTGTTATCATCTTTGCTCTTTGCGATTGGCTGCACATATTTACACGAGAATAGACATGTAAATAAAGAAGCGTATACGTTTATCAGATTTTCAACGCACATTAACAGCCAGTCAACGATAAGATAAATAACTCCCATCTGATTCTCCCACATTTGCTTTCTGCAAATTTCTTACGCTACAGTTTAAAAATTATATTTTTTTAATTATGTTCTTGAACCTCTACAATGAATGTTTCTACGATTCACTTATCTTATTAGACAAATGAATTACGTATTTTGCACTTGTGAGTATTGACTGTTTGATTTTAATGAAATATTCAATTTATTATTACCTTGTATCATCCAATTATTTGAATAAAAGTCTTTTGCAATTCACAATAAACGGGAATTTCTGATTCAAATATTACTATTCAGGTCAGTTAGCTTGCTTTATAAAAATCAAGCTGCGCGCGAAAGATGTCATAAAAACAAATTTTATCATGCATATTATGAGCATTTAATTTTTAAAGTACATATAATTTGAAGCATTTATTTTTAATATAAAAAAAATTTTTTAAAACAATTAAAAATATAAACGTCCCACTGAATTTCTGCAGCCATAGAAAAAGAAGCTTCTTATGATATAAATAGACCACACATTCAAAGTCTAGACTTTTGTAAACAAATCTTGAATCCGTGTTGATAGCAGTAAGCGCAAAAATAATTATTTCAAGTACTGATTTACAACAATTTTTGTGAAATTGGAATGGAAAATGCTGACATGAGATAAAATACATTGAACATATGGATAACGATCGAGATGACTTTTGTGCAATAAACTTGAAGTTTCTGCTGTTGTTAATTTAAATTTGTAAGATTATTGAATAATTTTGCATTTTCATTTCACTGTCAGTAAAATTTTATAAAATAAATATTATACTCGATCGCTGTGTAGGCTAATACGTTGTACTTTATTTTGATGTTTAGTTGACCTGATTTCTCAACTGCATTTACAACTTCAATTAACTTATTTAATAATTTAAAAATAAATATTTATTTTGATTTGGGGTCATGGTGACTCGGTGGGTAAAATCTCAGGATTCTGTGTAAAAGAACGTGGGTTCGTGCCTAGGATATGTAAAAATTTTTAGAAATGAAATTTTCATGTTTCTTACCGTGATTCCGGTGGTTCGGATTCCAACTTAAATTTTAGGTCCAGTCGCGATGTGTGTAAAATTTAGTCCTCATACACCATTTTCAAAAAATGATAGTATAGAGGAAGTGGGTCTACATACTAACAACAAGTGATTGTTGAAGTCACAATATCAAAAACAATAACAATTAGATTATTATGTCGACTCGGATTTTTAGAGCGCGTTTTGTTTCACCAGATACACGTCATCATAGTTTCTGTAGCACAATTGAAATACGGGCTTGGTTCTGTCCACTTCTTGCGCGACATCTTTTCCTGATTTTACAACGAATGGCGTTTTATTAATAAATGGAATAACATGGACGTTATGTGATTTTAAATGTGCAATAATAGCATGGTAATACGAATTATAAGGAATATTCACATATTCCAATGTAATTAATGTTGCCGAAAACTATTTTGATACTTATTGATAGTTTTGTTTTTTCGATGTAGTGTAATTTTATAATTCGTATATTTATTTGTTTTTCGATAAAATCTTTCGGACAACTGTTGCATCTTTCTATTTTCGTTGTGAAAACGTTGTCTGATAATAAAAAGGCTCGATAAATACAATTATATACTAAGTTTTTCTTATACACGTATGGATAATTTGATAGGAAATTTATGAAACATTTAGAAGCTCTTTGATTTTGGTAGCAATTATATATTATTTACATGCCTTCTCTTATAATTGTCTCATCTAAAAAATTTAATTCTTCATCTTCTTCCATATCCGAAGTTAATTTCAAATTTGTATTATAATCACTAAAATGCTGCGAGATTACCTCTACTTGATGCTTCTTAATGATTAAAAACGTATCGTCAACGTATCTTATATATAATTTAGGAATATAATTATGATCTATCTTCAAACGAGTTACCTATTCCTTATTCTTAAGATCATCTATTACAATATCTGCGAACAGCGGAGAGATCGGTGAGCCTATAGGCGTGCATGTTACAACCTTTCAGCTGTTTACAATGTTGCCCGTCAAATATGGAATAGATATTGTCACAAAGAAACTCATTAAATGGAATTTTACAGCCTTGTCTAATCTTGTCAAATCTGCGGTTGAGACTTCTCATGACTAGATTACATGGCATATTTGTAAACAATGATATGACGTCCAACGATAAAAATACATCATCAGGTTCTAATATTACATCGGCAAATTTGCAAATTCGTGGGGGTCTATTTATTTTTCGATAAGTCTGTTAAACTTTGACTTTAATTTTTGATTATGATACTCAAGTTTCTATTCGAAGGTAAGTTCAATGAAAAACAATTGGCATGAACGTTTTCTGTTTTTTTTGTCAATACTTCTTTAAAAAAAAAGAAAATAAGAGTGTTTCAATTCAAAATGGAATTCAAAACCAGTTTCAATTGAAAAAGTCCCTTTCCCCTTCCCCTTTCTCTCACTATTTTTTTAGCCCTAGAGTTCTGTTAAAAGACGTGACGCTTTTCATATGTTTATATGCATTCTTAATGTGAGACAGACCGACGTACTCTCTTCTACATTTCAACGGGAATCTACGCTGTGGAATGGCGGCAGCGAGATTCACGTTATTTGCTCAAATCAAAAAGTTGTGGAAAAGACTGGCATTCGCACGCATACTATAATCCCACACAAGGGAAGCCGCGTGACTTATCGTTATCAGTTGATTTTTTCTTAATTTGATAATTGACATATCTTTATCGAGTACTTGGCTATTCTCTCGCCATCTGATATAGTTCGTCAAAATAAAAGAAAATGTAAAGTTGGTAAAATGATTTCGCGCGATAGAAAATTTCCAAGAAATCGACTCAGCCGTAGACAAATAAATAACGGCGGTAACCAATCATTATTTCGTTTTGGTGTATGATAAAATCCATATTCTTCATTTTCCTGTACTTTCAGTTGGCTAACTAAATAACGTGTACTGCTATATTTATATAGACATCCTAACATAATTATTTAAAAAATGAGAAATATAAATAACGTCTAAACGTCTAGAGATCACATGTGATAAATAGCTGTTTGCTCTTTACCGGCAGGGCTGTCATTCCGTTAGAAAAAGCTTGAAACACCAGTAACAAAATTCATCTTATAGTTTAAAGTTTTTCCGAAGGAACTGTGTGGAGTTAAAAAAAATCAATTAATGCTTGGTAAACTACAATCTCCGAAAAAAATTATCTCGTCAATGACTTGTCCGATTACTTTCGGATTTTACGCAAAACATCGAATAGTTCCTGAGCTTTTTAATTTTTTACAAACCGTTGAACACATTACTTGAATGATTAATGCCAATGTCTCAAAGTTCAGCATTGCCTTTGCAATGCATTATTTTTCAAAAATACTATTTTGTTTTAACTGCAGTTGGCGGTAAATTACTGCTTGTATCATGTTACAGTCGAACAGCCATACATAGAGATTTTATAACCAAAACAAAGATATATAGCTTCGTTTAACCATAAATGCAAACTTGGAAGCACGGGCATTGAAACATTTAAGTAATATATTAAAAAATCTATGAAAAATTGGAAAACTCAAAAAATTTTCATTGTTTTCTACCAAATCTACAAGTAATCTAACGAACAAAAGTAATTTACAAGATAATTTTTTTGGACATTTATTTTTACTTAATTCCACCATAGTTGCTTCAGAAAGACTTTGAATTGTTACCTGAATTTATTTTCCGATTTTTCAAGCTGCTCGTGTCTGACGTAAGTCGAAAATCAGTGCTTTATTACTTTTGCTTGTCACCACAACTTTGTTAATTGATATATATATATTAACCGCTGACGATTTCGTGGCACAATAAAAGTATGTAACTATGGATAACAATTTAGCGAAATCAAATTTAATAGTTTCTTAATTTCATTTTCTATGATTTTTTCAAAATTATTCACCCGTTTTGCACTAAAACGAAGTAAACGCCATTTTAACCCATCTGAACTTATTTTAGATTTTTAGTCAACTATTGTTTTCCAAAAAAACTTGTAAGTCAGATTATAATATACTATAATAGAAATAGCGATATTATAATAAAAAATAATAACTTCTTTAGTACTATTTTTATTTGTCTATTTAATTGGTTGAATAAACAATTTCTTAATTACGCAAAAGTATAAAATATCGTAAGGCTTATGGAGGTTCGAGTTTTTATATAAATTAATTTTTAACATAAACTTGCATATCCATTTTAATGAATATTTGGCTTTAATTATTGAGTTATATCGTTTGTCGATTATTGGTTGTCACTAAGTAGATAATTTATTTTAATATAAAGTAACATAAAAAACTTAGACAAATAAAAATTTTTATTTATAGGCAATATTATGTGAATGTAAAAATATTAGAAAAAACATTTATTTTTCTTGAGTATAAAATGAGATTTATTATTATACAATTAGACTTATACTTTCATAATATCCTTACATAGTTGGAACGCTCAAGATTTAACATAATTCTGATCACTTCACTCACAAACTCACGCTGAATTTCCACTAGACAAAGTAAAATTAACTTATTTAAATTTTCGACTGTATACATATAAATATTAAGCAAAATTCGGTGCTGCGATTTCTGAATTAAAACTATTATAATTAAATTGTTGAAAAATTAATATCGATATCTTCATAATATAGTGCTCGGCAAATTTAATTTTCATAGAAAAATGAAAAAAAACTTCGATGTATATTAACTTATTTTAACTTAATAATATCAAAAACTATCGCCATTTGTATGAGATCCTTACAAAATAAAATATAACGGCTTTGCAATTAAACTTTTAAACTCGTTACCTGTTCAAAAAATTATTGTCTCTCTGTATTAATTCTTGTTCGGCTAATACCAACTGTTTATTTGCGATTCCTGCTGTAGAATGAACTAAAGCTTCCTTTACTCCATTTAAATTAGTCCTGGACTCTTCAACGCCATAACGCACTTGGTGATGAGACTGTTTTGATTTGGCTTTCCATATAATCACTGCAGGAACTAGTGACACTAGAAAGGGATAAAAGATTATTTTATTGATATATATTTTTGTCCAGTTGACTGAACAACTAATACTTACAGAAAAGCCAGAGTAGAAAAAACACATCAAGTACAAAATAACCATAATTTTCAACTATGAGTCCACAAACTATCGATGCTACTGCTATGCTAAAATTTAGGATTGCTTGATTGCTACAAAGAATTTTCTGAATTAAATTCAATTATTCTTTCCGAAAATACAACTGAATTAATTTACTGTAATAAAGTTATTGTACAAACATTCCATAAGCCGTTCCTAGTTGATGTTCTGGCATCACATCGGCAATCATTGGCCAGATACTTGTTCCGAAAAGTGAAGAAAAAAATCCTAATGCGGAAACAGAGAAATATGGACTGACTTCGATAAAAGTCAGAAGTCCGTGAGCAAATATTGAGCCTATGATGCCAACTGTGACCCACAGTATATTTCTTCCAAATTTGTCAATCATGATGCCAAATAAAGGAGAAATAATAGCTGAAATAGTGTAAACTAAAGAATTCAACTTATTTGCGGCATCAGATCCCATATTGTACTTTGTCATAAAATACACTCTAAAATGAGTAAAAATAATCAATGATAAATAATGATAAATTATAGATCAAACTTTAACACATAAAATCTTTCTTGAAACATGTATAAAAACTATGGTAAAATATACTAATAAAATAATAATATATATTATTATTTTATTATTTACTAATAAAATATCTTCAACTCACTGTGCCAATGAAATGAATGGAGATAAAGCTACAGTGTAAGCTGTACAAAGCAAAATGACCAACCAATAAACTGTTGGAAACTCTTTTATATCGGAGAGCTTGAAAGTTTCGGCTTTCTCAGCCTTTTCTTGTTTTAAAACTGTTTCTGTGCGGCTGTGCATGCATCCCAGTACAAGAGCGCAAATCATTGAAAGAACGCAGGTCAGAGAAGCAATAAATAAAACTGTTCCAATACATTGAGGAGTCGAATAATTTGAATTGTTCTCTACGAATTTATAAACAGTACCCATTGATAGAGAATTGGCTATTGAGCCAGCTAAACCAATACTAGATTGTAAGCCGAAAAGTGCGTTCAATCCTTTATCTTTGAACCACAGGACAGTGTAATTATTTTGAGCTATGTAAACTGCTTCTGATCCAATCCTAAAAATAAATAAGTGAAATGATATTCAAAGCGAGATAACGGTAACTGTATTTGAATACGTACCCAAAAATAAATCTGCCAAAGACCATTATCCAAAAAATATTTACAAAAGCCCCCGTGGCAAAAAGTAGTTGTCCTAATAAAGCCAAAAACATGTACACAATAGTTCCCCATTTTATTCCAAATACGCTATCTAGAAGAACTCCTCCAAAGAAGCATAAGACAACATTTGGCCATGAATAAATAGAGTACAATAAAACGAATTTGGTAGTCGGTACTTTCAAATCAGTTTCAAATTTATCTTGTAATGTTCCAGGGTTGTCATAACAGAAGTACAGCCCTACAATTAATAATGTGCATCTATTGGTTACTTGCTTGAGCAAATGTTTTACAAAGTGTATCAATAAGTAACCAACTGCTTGATGAGACGTGTTATTTTCGTGTCGTTTAACCAAATGGTTGTGAAATTATTGTTAACCGCAAACGCATGTTACGCAACATTTTAGTTTAAAAACAAATTTTTGGAATGGAGAAAATCTTGTATGAAATGTTTTTGCTCATCGATACAGTTTCGCGGCAATTATTATTTCAAAAGATTTGTACGAAACATTCTGACGAATAATGCCACTGCAAGCGTATACGGAAATGAAGTTGCGGTTAGCATGCCTCCTTCCAACACAGGCGCTTCTTATGTTCTATCTCGCTTTTTTACGATTGAAACTGAGTTTCTAATTACGCTTTAGAAGTTTATCACGTTTATTGCAACGTGACACATGTAGATATCATGCAACTTCTTACCATTGTAATTTACATTCAATGTTAATCGAGTGCTAATGACTTTGGCCGTTCATCATTTAAAAGCTTTGCATATCCAGTAGTCACTAATTGCCACGTTTAAAAGTTTATAAAATTGGCTATTGACAGTTGGAAAATAGTCTTCTGAATTTGATGAACAATAGCTCCACCCTCACCGCGTTATCTATTAAAATTACATTTTCCATGATGCAATAGACTCGACTGCTTATTATTCTTGAGAAAATGTTGGTGTCAATCATTCTGTATTTATTATATAGCAGATACGTTAATTCTATCATGAAACGCGCACCCAAGGCTTAACAGTGAAGTAGTGATTTAGTTTGTGCATTCAGTTGCTAATGATAACATGAACAATACCAACTGTTAGTCTCAAAATAACAATAACTAATGGAGTTATAATTACTGATCTTTTTTCTAATAAAGTGAAAATCCATTGGAATTATGAAATAGGCCGCCAAAATCAGAAAAAGAAGTTAAAACAAGATTAAAATGATTAATGTATGTAACGCATTTATCACACTCACCAAAGCTCAAGAGGCAAATATTTAGTAGACCAAAGTATTTAAACAAGGTTTTCTTGATACTGAAATGCGTTTGCGATGTAAAGTCATCTCCAGATATGCTACAAGCTTTGTACTCATTATCCATACTTATTATTGTTGCGTATATCGCTGATCAGAGTCTGAATACTCAATGGTTGAGTCTTACGCTTGAATAGACATTGAAGCTCGAGCGCAAAAAAACAGTTACCTGTTAATAGTAAATATGACAGACTCTTGTGAATGCTTCACAACTAGTTGATCATGAAAATACATTGCACGAAAGAACTACTCTGGAGTTATGTCTATGTACTAATCAAGTTTGATACATTTTTCACGATGTATTGATTTTCCTTATCATCGTAATTCTCTGTGATTGGCTGCACACATTCACACAAGAACAGACTTTTAAATAAAACACACATGTTCATTAGTCTTTTAACAGCTAATCAAAGATAAGATAAATTTCCCCACCTTTGTTTTTAACTTCATATCTTTTTTCTCAGATTGTCTACCTTGTCAAGTGTATATTACTACCGGGTATAATATTAATCGCGTATAAAAGTGCAATAAAATACGAGTATATCGCTTGAACTAAATAGTACTCACAGGGAAATTACAGGCTCTCAATAAAGAAACTGAATCGTTTTACAAATTGGTTTAATACTTCGATAATGTTATAAGAAAAATCAAAGTTGTACGTGCACAATTTTCTAAGCTTTTTACAAATTACTAATCGTACCATTGCTTACTGTTCATCTAATATCAGTTAAATTATTTTTTAGAAAGAGAGGTACAGCAATAATAATGATTTATGAACGTGTTGTTATTAAAAAGTATTTCTTGCTTTGATTTTGTATTGAAGAAATGTGTACAATCATTATTCTTGATTTCGAAACTAGTTTAAACGTTTATAATTCTACATCACATATAATACATTCTATATTTACATAATGTTCAAGTTCACATATTTTGTACTTTCCTTCAATTTTCAATGCATTAACAAATACAATTTGTACAAATCGAGAAGTTGTGAAAATCATTCGCACGCATACTATACAATCTTGCACGAGTGAAACCGCGTGATTATCGTTATCGTTTAGTTTTTCTTAATTTATCTCTTCTTCGATATGTCTCTGTTGAGCTATAATTATTAGTTATTTTTTTGTTTTGTAACTTGGCCCAATAGTAAAAGAAACAGTTCAAAATATGCACACCAATTTGATATTTGAAATGACTCGTTCATATAAGTTCGTAGGGCAGATGTGTGACTATAAAAAATATTATAAATATATTATAAAATGTACAAATATAACGATATATCTCTGGCTTCGTTCCCTTCGTGAGTTTCCTTGTGCCCTTCGCTGCGTCCCGAAAGAGAAAATGCATCACCGAATTATTTCTTTCTCGCCAGTCATCCCCTTTTATAGGCCCGTGGGTGAAGTTTTTGATCGAAAACTGTGTAGTTGGCTTTTCGTACGACGGCATTTCAATTTCGATATTTTGATATAATATATTTTGATATATATAATCTCGTAAATTGAAACCTAACTTTTTATTTATACCAGTACTTCTAGAAGTATAAAAGCACAGATAAGCATCAGCGAAAAGTACCGAGCACACAAATACTGACTGAAAATCGGTGAACGTGATTCATTTTAAACCGACAAAAATTTACTACTTAAATAATTCACTTACGATGACGTAAATTACATATGATTTATCCTTAATCGCTATGCTCATGTATCTTTGGTAAAAATGTTGTAACTTGGAGTACGTTTTGTGCTTTTTATTATAGGCCAATAAAAGATTTTATCCATCAAGATCTTTTAGAAACTGTACCTGATTTAAATCATGTGCAAAGTGTACTCAGCAGTCGTACTGATCAGTACCCTATTAGATATTATTCTGTGACGCAGGATTTTGGCGGTTCAATCCGCCGGAAAATTCTCGTTACGGTTCACTCCCTCCTGGTGACTCGGGTTGCAGCCGTCGTCGGGGATGCGCGTTGGGAAACGCGAAAAAAATCGCAGGCGGCTGTCGACTGCGACAGGCGCGGAGTTTTGTGTTTTCCGTTTAGAGTCAGCGGGTAGTTGTCCAAAATGGCGACGCAGCTCGAACAGTTCCCTGATCCAGGGCAGGGTACGAGCGGATTTCAGCGAAAACAGAATTACAACAGACCTTTTTATTTTACCTCGGAGTATTGCGAGCACAAGTCGCGTCAGTCGGCAATCTTGGATCCATTTAAGAATTCGCAAAAAAACCGTGAACTTTTGAGCTCGCGCCGAGGTAAGAAACCGCGCTATTATCGCGATTACGATTGAAAATAAGCGATAGCGTGTGAGGGAAAGACAGGAGCTGTGGTCACTGAGTAAACCGAATAAATGTTCTACACTTTATTATACTTCTCAGCAACTCGGCAACCTATCCACGAGTCCCGGCTCGCGAATGCCCGACAGGATTCGGCGACATATCAGCGGTGGATGGGTTACCTCGTCACGATTATTCAACGCGCTTAAACAGTGGCACTTTACCTTCCGTGCTCGTCGAATCCTCTCAACGAATATGGCGTGGTCGGCAAACAAAGACTCGGCGAACTTTGAGTGCGAATTACTGGCGAAATGGATGAGAGTACGGCTCTTGTCCTCTCCGAAAATCCATTTTCCTTTTCGCGTGCAAAAAGAACAATCGTGATTGGCTAAAAAGTTAAAATCGGATGTCCGACGCGCTTTTACATTACTACTATTTTATTTATCTTCACCCCTCAATTGGTCTACGAATACGTTTCATCTTTTGCTTAACATTTATACCCATTTCCGAGCGCATCCTTTAATGAGAGGGAAAATCGGTTCCTAGAAGCCACCTTTATACGGGCTTATCCAATGTATGATATCAATGGAGCTTTTCATATTCTGTTTCATTTCGAATTCGTGGAATTGTCGTCGGTATGGTCAGTGTTAAGGGTGAGGTTGAGCAGGGTGAGATCTCAAATAACGAACTGCCTTCCCTATTGTCGCTCCAGTCAGGTTGCAGTCTGTAACAGAACTGACTTGAAGTCTTTACGCAGGAACTACGTAAGGGTCTTTCGAGCGCCCCCGCTGCCAATCGTTATTAGGTCCCGCCCCGCTTCGGACCCCGATAAGACGCGCTCTCGCCCGTCCCCATTTTCTTTTCGATGGGTTTTTCCCTCTTTGCCATGACCGATTCTCACTCTCTCTCTCTCCATTTCTCTCCCTCTCTGCTGCCCGACCGGACCACAGGTTAGCCATGTGCTAACCCTTCCGTTCTTTGTGACCTGCAATGCCCGGGAGATTATCTCCCTCGTGAGGTCTAAAGCCTTCGAAGATTCGACTCCTCGAAGCTAAAGATGGGTATCACGGCCACGATGACGCTATAATGCGCTCGTGCACGTCCATGCGCAGAGATAGAGTTACGAGAGAGAGTAAAATTCGAGTCGGCACACACCACCACGTTCATCGCCAAGTCCCGTCGTCCCGCTTTCCTTTTTCTAGATTCGGGAAACGCGCACATTCCAGTGGTTAATTGAGATAGATTAACTTAAATTTCTAGAACGCACGCAATTTACATAAGTTTCGCATTATCGATCGTTCGACCATAACAACTTTCTCTTGTTTCCTTAAAATTATTTTCGCTCGCATTACGGACGGGTCCACGGGTGGTCCTTGAGAACAGCCGCGTTTTTAGCTCATATGTTTTGAATATTTCGCACATATGTCCCGAATCTTTCGCGCACGTGATTTTCCGAAGTATACATCTGTAATAGGCTACGACTCTGGTCTCGGCATCAGGCTCTAACCTCGGTATCGGGTTTTCTATTATCGATTTACAAGCGCGCGCGTTTCCCGATTTTTTTTTTTTAGCGTTCTCAACAGTCAGTTTCGCTATATACTAGATATAGTTATTTGTATTATATATTACAATTCATCTCATTTATGAGTCGTGTAACTCTAGCGTTTCCATATACATGATAATTCTATTTCACATATTTTCGCACGTCTACAGCTGGATTTCGTTCTATTATATTCGCTTCTGCATTGCAATTTTCATATATTTCAGCGAATATTCATCGATCTACACACATACACACAGAGCCGTAGACAATTACCGGTTAATTTAGCATTTTTACTTCATTTTATTTCTTTGTCATTTTTTCACGCATACTTAATTGCCTCGATGTAACGTCAATCATGCTTATGTATTGACATGTATTCTATCACGCATAGTATTTTGCAGTGCCAATGTCGATCTTAATTTAATTTCCATTATTCGCAATGTTTTCAGTACGCTATCTTTGTTGGTCTCACTTAATCTGTCTCGCTCACTCTTGCTTAAGCGATATAAGCTACTCAAAGTGGCCGCCTCTCGCGCGTGCACGTCGCACCTCGGTACCGGTCTTTGTGGTGATTTCTAGAGTGCTCTTTGTCGATACTGTCGCATATGTGCGTGTTCGTGAGTGTAAGCCCCCCGTTGTTCGCTCGCTTGCGAACTATGTGCGAGAGAGAGAGAGAGAGAGAGAGAGCGGGAGAGTGAGAGAGTCTGCGTGGAACCACCGGCAATAAAAGCGAGCCAGTGCCACATGTTGGATGAACACAAGCGGATGAAAACATGTGGCCGAGGCCTACTTTCTCCTTGTTATCGTTGCTCAGGGGTCTGATGTGATGGCCCCCAAAAAAATGCGCGGCGGACCTTACCTTCTTGAGAGTAGAGAGGAAAAAGATCAGTTCAGCACGAGAGCTGACCAAGTGCGCTTCTCTCCCTTACCTAGTCTCTGGCTTTGTTTTCTCTTACGTGTCGCGTATTTATTTCCGTGCGTGCGTGCGTGTATCTAACAGCACTGCGATCGCTGGTACCGTGAGATCTTGATCCACAAGGCGGCCCGGACGACGGTAATCGGCTCACCCCTCTACACGACGAGCGACGCAGTGCGCACTGAGTACTGTGTTGTTCTAGGGGGCGTCTTCCTCCTCTGCACGAGTGTGCAAGTTTCGTTCGGTGAGCGATCGTCGCAATATTTAGTGGCCACTCGAATTCGATTTGTACTCGTACGAGCGCGTGTTCCGACCGCTTAAATATATATACGTTTTTTTATGCGTAAAAGTTGCACTTGAATGGCTTTTCCCCCACTCAAGACTGGGGTTTTTTATGCCGGCTCGGTGCGAACCCTCTTTTTCTTATTACCTGCCTGCATAAATAAATTTAATTACTTTTTATAATTTTCGCTAAACACGTTTCATTTATTTGCACGGTCACGCCTCCTTCACCCGAACTCTTG